CGTGTGCCTCATTTCAAGCTTTGAGCTGTAACTTGTCCCAGCGATCATCATGAGAGTGAGTAAACACGCAGTTTTGTTCTATATTCTCAGATCCAAGTGAAGTTTTGATTACAGATTTATTTTGTAATTTAGGATGTTCAGTGCCTCTGGAAAACAACCTCTGATCTTAAAAATGTGTCTGGCATTTAAAAGTCCCGCTTGAGAACCACAGAAATATGGGATTCACGCAAAACTGTCATCATACAGCTGATAAGGAGCATGCACTGAGCACAGGTTGCATATATGATTCTGTGTCAAGTTGATTTTATATTGAGGCCATAACACATTTAATGGTTTCAAATCTGTCTGTGATCCTGCTACTCATGCATCATACAGGTTTGCTAGCCTGAAGGCTGTCTGGCAAGGAAACGAGACAATGATAGAGCCGGCTTTCAATCACCTTTCTCACGGGGCGTCAGAACGCTGAGTGGTCTAATCTGTATGTTCAAGCAGATGTTGAGTGGGCGGACTCATGAGTAGTTACCTGCCAGTAGATGTTTGAAGTTTGACTCTTTTCTGTTGAAAATGTACAGCACTGTTACACAGCCCAAAGGGGTCTTTACTCCCGCCCACTCAGTTAGAAGCTAACAGATTACAGGTTGCAGCTAATGGTGGGGCTGTAGCTCCTCATCATGCAGATGCTCCCACAGTGGGAGGCTGTGCTCCTGCAGTCTGGGGGAGAAGATACACCAGGGCATTTATTTAGCTGCCAAGTGTTCCTACGCGACAGGAAACAGATTGGGCTTCCTCTGCTCCAAACCCCTTTGCTTTTAAAACAAGCGAAAAAGATCAATTCTATTTTTATTCAAATGTTATCATACTCACTCTCTGCAACACAGTTCATAGACTTATTTGACATAAGGTCAAACCGTAACTCTATATTTGTTTTGTTTTTTATTAGAAATGTCTTACATTCTTCATTAAAACATCTTAGACTAAATACATTTTGAAAGAGGAAATAGCACTTTTTTAAATGCAGCTCAGAAGAAATTAAACCAACTGTTGCTCAGCGATAGCTTTTAAGCTAACATCCAAAGTTAGCTAACTTTAGATAAATAATGCTATATTTTACTTACTTAATTTAATTTATTTTATTACTACTGTTTGCCACGTGTGGTTATAGTGACCAAAAAACCAACGTCAAAATTCAGGACATCTTATGTTTTGTGCTAGAAGTTATACAAAGAATAACACTCCATTGGTATCATTTCAATACTTTAATATAAAAGGAGCAAGGATATTTTCAAAATTGGTTTCCATCCATATACAGTTCCAAAAAGTGGATATCTAAAGTCTTAACGCATGGTCCACACACTAGCTCTTAATTTAATATTAAATAAGTCTTCCTCAATATATGGGTGAACAACCCCATCATTCAAGCAAGACATTGCCATTCCATTAAAAGCTCTTTTTTTTTTACTTTAGTGTTGATACCAGTCTTGTTTACTTTATTTTTTAAATATTCCTTTTATTTCAATATATAGTCTGAGCACGGATAACAGGAGCGAATCATTGTTATTTTTGCCACTAAACATATAGCCATCATGTTCCTTAAGGCTCACAGTGCTGTGCAGACCTGAGAGACGCTGAGTCTGCAGCACAGGGCTACAGCAGCAGCAGGCAGACAGCAGCTGACATTAAGAGTCTGGCCTGTTGGCCCCCCATAGGTGGGCTGACCCCTCATAGTGACAGCTGGACAACCAGACACATATCTGACTCCCGTGCAGCATTCGGAGGAGTCCTGTCGGCGGCTGTGTTGTTTCAGGGGGGAGAGAAGTCATGACAAACTTCATGTCTGCTCTAAGAGACTTAGGCCCCGGCCACACGAGGACGAAAACGGCTAAACACGGCTAAACGCATAGGATTAACGCAAACGCAAACGCAAAAAAGTTTCTGTCCACACGCAATATTCACCGGATAGTGTCTGTCCACACGAGACCGCTCCGTTTAGCTCCAACCGCTGGAGAAGCTGCAGTACATATGCAGGAGCCTGTACGTGGCGCTGTAACTTCCTCCACAAAAGCAGCGAAGAAGCATGGTTGTCATGGTTGCCCTTCTGTTTATTCTCCGCGGTGGGGGCCGAGGGAACCGGGCAGAGTTTTTCGCCAGTCAATGTGTATTAAGTTTAAACCTTCCGACAAAATTATAAAAGTGCCGGTCAAAGGTCTTCTTTGTTATTTATTGAGCTTTAAAACAAATGAATAACGACTCTATATAATATAATAATAAAATACACGGAGCCTCTCTGTTTCCTCCCTCTCTTCGGACAGCGCCAGTGTCTGTTTCATGCAGCAGCTGATCCAGTAATGAGTGACCCGGCCGACAGTAAAAATAAACATATTTATAACTAGTTTAGGTAGTTTGAGAGGTGTCTCCGTCCTGCCAGATTAGACTTCACTCGCGTTTATGTCCATATCGAGAGAAAGATAAATAATCTGAATTCAGTTTGCAGTTTACTTTGACGCGGGGGTGAGCAGCAGAGGTGGGGAGAGGCGGGGCTATTGCCTCATCATTATCAGAAAATGATCGTATAGGGCGTACACACGGAGCCGATTGACCCCCCAGAGCGTTGCGTATGCCGTTCTATCCACCTTGGGACCCGTTATCGTTTCCGCAGTCGTTTAGTGCCGTATTCTGTCGTCCTCGTGTGGCCGAACGGTCTATATGACACTAAACAGTAACGCAAACGACCGTTTTCGTCCTCGTGTGGCCGGGGCATTAATGGCATATTTTGATCCTGCTAAATCCCTGGTTTTGTTTCATACTGACAGTATTGTGTTTCCACAGTTACAAATAAAAGTAACTTATAAAAGTGTTTCACCTCCCAGAACCTTTCATCCCACCTGTTTCACAGATCAGTGTTTTCTGTTGGAATGCAGCAAATATAATGTAGAATGTATTACAAATAAAACATGTTTCTTTTGGCATCAAGCCTGCTATCTCCTCCCCTGTCCAGCTGTCATCAGCAGCTCCGCCCCGCCACCCTGCACACACACAGGAAATGAAAAAGAAGGGACATATTCCCGACCACAGCTTGATTTGATCTAATGTTCCGTAGGCTTACATAGGGGTGGGCGATATTGAAAAATATATTATCACGATATTTTTCAAGCAGTATCACGATAGACGATATATATCACGATATTTTTTCATGTCGGTTATTATGGTTATTTTTCAAGTTACTTAACAGTACAAGCACCTACAAGGTAACAGAAACTAAAACAAAAAGGAGTAACAGACCAAAATAGCATTTCAAGCTGGTTTTATTTCTGAAATGAATCCCTGAATGAACAATTCAACATTTTGATATGGCTTCAAGGCACAGTTTCTCAGTATAAAAATGAACTTTCTGAGGTAGCACTAGCACTAGCGTGTCAAACAACTCGGACTGAACTACCAACACGAAAGCAGAGGTGCGCTGACATTGTGAAATCGATCGGGCTTGATATATGGTGAAATTAAAATCAGTAGGTGAGGCTGGGGGAGCGGGAGGAGAAGACTCTCCGTCCGCTGTCATAGCACCCTGCGCCGCGCACGGAGAGCCTCTTCCCCTCCCGCTCCCCCAGCCGTTCAAATCCAGTTTTGGACAGTCTGCCGTGGTTCCATCCCATTTCAAGTGCTGTTCGAGGCTCGGCGTAACCCTCGGAGCACACTCTCCAATCACAGAGCTTGAGGACTATCACGGGGTTTGTCAAACAGAGCACATGGTGTAGTCCAAACGATAGCTGGGGATTCTGGGTAGTGTAGTGTCTTCTGCCATCCTTTACTCCGAAAATATATTTGTTTCTCCGAATCGAAGGGGAAAAATACAAAAGCATTGCACACAATTTAAACCAATCAATGTTGTGTAATTAACAAGGATAATCTGGTGTTTTTTAGTCGATGAGTAGTGCAGATATCACTGTAAACTCAATCGACAGTAAGAGGAATACTTACTTCCGGGTGTACAATTCTCCGTTATCCAATGGGAATGGATGCTCACATTGCCTTTAAGGGCAGCCGACACAAACGAATGCCGTGCTTCCATGAGCGTCAAATCCCGCCGCAGATGGGAATACATTGCAATCAGTTGAAAGCTATTTGCGTCCCTTTATGAAGCTGAAGGAGCCTAGGAGCGTCACAACTGCACGCCACGGACACTGACCAAACGTCGCTCCTGGACGATTATGGAGTGAGAGTGTGTTGGCTAACCCTAACCCTAGCCGGACAGGGGATCGTGTCCGTCTCTGTGGCTTCAGGCTTGATCGCCGTTCAAATGACAGTTTTAATGATCTCAATGGGAATGGTTAGCGTTTCATATGCACGCAAATAAAATAAAAATATAAGCCAACAGAATCAACCAAGACAATAAATGAAGTGTAATACTGTCTGAATCCTGACTAGACAGCTTTAGAGCATGTCTTTCACATCAGTTTTTTTTTTGTATAGTTTTTTTTTTTTTTTTTCACGATAGATACGATATCTCTGAAAAAGCATATCGTGGAGACCTAATATCGTCACGACGATATATATCGTCATATCGCCCACCCCTAGGCTTACATTATTATCAGTGTGTTAAGATATACAAACTAATATAGCTCCTTTTTTATTAAAGAAATGAGTCATATATCAGCTCCCCATTGATATGTTTCGATCAATAGCCTATCACGTGCAATGTGTTTGAGCGCTAGCATATAGAAGCGCAAGTGTTACATAGTGATGTCACTGTGTTGTGGAAGTAAACAATGAAGTCCAATGGAAGCGTTTCAGGCAGAGAGGGAACTTTGGGATTTTTTCCTTTCAGTCCATTTACATGCACAAAATCATACTTGGCACACTACAGGAAAGGGAAAAGCCCAAAAGCATAACAGGGCCTCTGTAAAGTATGTGATAATGTGTCTTCTGAACCAATCTGTTGCTAAGGTTTGAGAAAACCCTTAACTGAAGTCCCTGTTTAATCGAGTGTATACTTTTGGTCAAAGGAGAGACAGCGACTGGAGACCATCCTGAACCTCTGCGCAGAGTACAACAAAGGAGACGGCAGCGAGCTGGAGCCACTGGGCTCGGGGAGGACGGGTTTCCCCGGGGCGCTGACGGACGGCTCGGGGCGGATGCTGTCCCAGGAGAACATCCTGGGAGGAACGCCGTCCCAGGCCACGCTGCGTCTGCTGCAGAGGCAGAGGGAGAGCGACGAGGAGAACCTGAAGGAGGAGTGCAGCAGCACGGAGAGCACGCATCAGGAGGTGAGGACGTCTCCTGCTCTCAGCGCAGCTCTGCACAAAGGGGACAGACAGGTCAGAGGGGACGCTCCTCCATAAGACGCTCTCTGCATGCCACTATGGAACCAGCATGTGCTAATAATGAACATGGCTTTGCTTCATCAGTGGTTCTTCAAGTGAAAGCTTCAAAAGGAATGTGTGCATAAGTCCTTTATGCCAATGCATGTGAATATCTGCTATCAGGTTTCATCACAATACCTTTTTTATCGTGGGGGGAAATCAATTTTTGTGACTGCTCAATTTTAGATGAAATAATTGGTTTTAAATATCTATACAAAAAAAGTTAGTTTAGAATTTCAAATAAAAAACATTAAATAAAATATAATATATTTATAGAAACATAAGAAAAGTAAAATGTCCAATAAAATATCAAATAAAATATTTATTTAAAAATAAGGAGTTAAAGTAAAAATGCTCCTTCGTCTATTTTGTTGTTTTATAAATGTATAGCTAAACAGTGAACAGTTAATTATTTATGCAGCTTTCTAAAAATAATCCATCAAAATTCAGGAAATCATAGTTGTCTTATTGTAAAGCACGTAGAAGAGCCTTTGTCATTAACGGCTTGATTGTCACGCTATTCTCAGCATGTGTACAAACAATATCAGTCAATAATTCAAAGTTATTAGTTTATGTTGTCTTTACATAATCGTTGGCTAAAAAAATCAAGGGACTGATTCAACAAATTATTGAACAAATAATTGCTGTAATGTAAATATTAGAAGAATACATCGGCGATACACCACTAAACTCAACTACTTATTCCATTTTGTATTCCTATTTATTGGCCTTTTAGACTGTTTGTGGAGGTCTGACAGATGTTTTAAGTAATTAGAAGCCTTTCATTACAGTGGCTCCTGCATGAACCTATCTATCGCCTCATGTCTTTTTCCTCTCTTGCTGTTGTTATATACGGGTTTTAGTGAATGCCATCTTTATTTGGCATTGCACTTTGCTGTAATGTTCCATTATCTGGTTTGAATTGGTTATAACTTGTAAATTCTTCTACCAAACTTCTACCCACTGAAACCGCCCATCTCTCTCTCCCTTCCTCTGCAGCACGAGGACTCGTTGGGTTCGGGCCGTCTGGAGCTCGGTTACCTGGAAGACGAGCGCGTTCGCGTTCTCGCTCGGATCGATGAGCTGAAAAGCCGGTTTACGGAGCTGGAGCAACAACTCCAGGAGTCCAAACAAGAGGTACTACAGCTGACGGAAACAGATTGTTGTTTACCTCAGTGTGAACACAGGCTGGACTCAAGTAAAACACCTACATTGTAACCAACCTAAAACTTGTGTTCTCCACAGCGTCATTACACTGTGCCTCAGTTACTCTGTGGGGGCCTAAAACCTAAAGCTCAGGCTGATTCCATATTTGGCGGCTATATTTATTTGACAGATAAAGATTTGACACAATCGGGCCACCGTATAGATCAGTTGTTAGATTTGGCTGCCCATATACTCGGTGTGCGAGTACCCGGGTTCAAATCATGCCTTGGACCATTTCACTGCGAGTCCTCCCTGATGTCTAACCAGGCCACTTCACTAAAGGCACTGGCAGTCCGAAAACATCTTACAAAAATAAAATAAGATTTGACACAATTTATAACAAGCTTTGGAAATCCAACACATTGTTAAGAGTAAACTAGTGGTTACCATCCCTTTTATGGGTATTGGGAGGTCCAATTTCAGATGCCTTTAAGTTTGGTGGAGTTAGTAAACAACTCCACCAAATAGATTGCTTTTCCTTTAAACTTCTCACATGGTTTAATTGTGATAAATGTTCAAATGATCCACTACTTTGCCAAAATCCAAAATAGGAAAACAGATTTGTGTATGAGACCTTTTTATATAAAGTAGTTTGTATTAACTCCACCTCTATCAGCTAAAAAAAGGACATGCTGCTCTCACATTTATTCTTTATTATTATTAATCGGGTGATATCATAATATTCTAGTCAGAAGGAACAGAACAGTACTTTAATACTTAGACAACATTTAGCTTCTAATACTTCTGTAATTGTACACACCGCTCACCGGTAACACTGAGTGCCCCCCCCCCTCCAGGCGGAGATGGAGCGGGCCCTGCTGCAGGGCGAGAAGCAGGCGGAGCTGGACCAGATGGAGGCTGAAACTGACATCATCACCCAGCTGCAGCACAAGCTGGACGAGCTGGAGAGCGCCATCCGGAGGGAGAAGGACAAGGTACGGAGAGCAGTGGATACACACAGCTCACATGTTAAATGCTGGATTTGAATCCGACAATTACATTTCAAGTCTACTGGATTCAAATATCTGGAGAGGTACATTCTTGGAAACCAGAAAACACACGTATACACTCTCTGCCTGTGCTCCTACAGTCTCCTAAACCTCTCTGAACTCTGATGGTTTGTCACTTTTGGTGTCCTACACAAGTCAGAATTCCTGTCTGGGTCGATCTATTCAATTCTTCACCTCAGGAATGCTTGGTACAGTCAACTCCAGCCATATAAAGGGCTGAAAAAAGGATTGGATTGACCTTTTTGGGAATTGTTTTTGCATGTTTTTTCTCCCTAGAAGTTTGCTCTCAGGTCAAATTCCATCTTTGTTCTCCTTAGCTGGACTCTGCTAACTAACTGACCTCCAATAACCCCTAATCCTTTCTCTGCTTCTTCATCACTCACAGTTACTCTCACACACTGTGCTCACCTGTTTCCTCCCTGTCTGCGTGACAGACCCTGTTGGTCAGGAAAGCTGTCCTTTAAAGGCTGTTTGGGCTCTGTAGTGCACGGGTCTTTGAGTAAAGTGTTCCAATAGTGGACAGATGAAACTCTACTAGCATGTTCTCTTTAGTAGTTTAAGGGGGGTTCTTCTTCTTTTTACATACAACTCACCACATTTGAACACAAGCAAGATAGAAATCTGAAATTGTGTGTTTCTAGATTGTGTTATTGTACGATAGGGTACGTTGAAATTTGTTTATACATCTAAGATGACAAGATATATATTCTGTGGGAAATGTTAAACTACATTTGACATAGAAACGTTGGGGAAAAACTGCTTAGACCTGCTGAAAGCTTCACCTGAGTTTACCCTCATCCCTGAAGACGTAAGAAAACTCTTGTCAGTCCTGGTAGTCCTTTTTACTTTACATCTCAATATGAAGCTCGTATCCCAGAGCACAAAACTGAAATGTATGGAAGCCATGAGATGCAAACTGAGAAAAAAACTAAAATGTGTGATCCATTTACTGAGTCTAGACCAGAGGTCGCCTTAACCGAATATTTTCCGTCTATGACGGATTTTTTTTAGCAATGACGGAAAAATCTGAAAGCCTTCCGTCAATTTGACAGATTAGAACAAAGTCAGAAGAGCGCCAAAGTTTCCCCGCAGCGGGGCTCCGGTGTTATGCCGTGTTATGCATGCCCGCCCCCAAAAGAAAATTATACCGTTTCCAAACCTAACTTTGCCGTACAAATCATTGAAATGTCTGTGAGCATTTGCCCCCCCCCGACAGAGTTGTGTACAGGCCGACAGGTAATAATGGATTTTGATGGAAATGTTACGATCCTGTCCGTCAAAACCTACTTTAACTCCAGCTTCTATGAGTATAGGCGTAGCCCTCTAAGGTTCGGGCCCCACTGGCTCCACGAATAGCTGAAGAAAAGCTGTTTGTGTGGGAGCAGATTGTCGGGCCTCCTTCCTATTTATACCGGAAGTGAGACCGAAGGTGGGGCCCACCTAGCAGGTGGGCGTGGACTACAAATGTTTCAGTGCTGCGCAGGGGATTACCCAATAGCGATAGCCTTAGAGGGCTACGCCTATACTCATAGAAGCTGGAGTTACAGTAGGTAACTTCAGATTGCACTTTAGTCTGTTGTGGCCAACACGAGTATTACAACAACAAAACACTTGATTAAATAATTGTCATAGGAAAAAAAAATATATGACTTGACGAAAAATGGTAAATTAAAATGATCCTTATTTTCAGCTGTCATAAACACAGGAGAGAAGTGTTTGGATCAGACTTAAAAAATGGATCATCCGAGCTTTTTTTCTCAGGGCTTCCATAGGATTAGCACCAAAGAGACATGATGTTTCAGTTTTTTAACTGCTTCGACAGAGTAACGACTGTCAGACATTGCTTCGTTTACCACGTAATTTTAAAAATATTTTGCGGCCAAGTAAATTATAGACCAACTTTTTTTTTCAACCTAATTGAGTTATAATTGTTAGAACATTTATACGGTATGTTCTTTAAGGGCATGTAGAGCCTTTAATTGTCACTGTGACAGGGGACATTTTAAGAAAGAAAAGCACTATACAATATTATTGGAATTGTATATGAACACTTTGGAGAGTTGGAATGATATGTTCTGGCTATTTGAAGACCACATACAATTTGTGGATCCCAGACTGCTTACATCCTGACAAATCAGCACCTACTTCCTGTCCCCTGCCAAGCCCTTAAAATTTGTCCCGACATGTCTGTTTGCTAACACCCTACAGCTTTTTATTTGCATGGCGTGATTTTTGAGCAGTGTGTCTCTCTTTCTCTCCCCCCTGTCCATCCATCCTGTGTGTGGGTGTGTGTTGTGTCTTTCTAGGAGAGGGCTAATGTTGAGGCCGAGCGCCGGGCCCTGCAGAGCCTCCAGGAGGGCTACGCTGAGTTGGAGAACCAGCTTCATAACTGTCCCGAGTCCCTGAGGGAACAGTTGCAGGAACAGCTCAAAAGGGTGGGTCACCAGTACAACAGAAGCACCTAGAACCCCCCCCCCCCCCCCCCCCCACACACACACACACACACACGCACGCACGCACGCACACACACACACACACACACACAACACACACACACACACACACACACACACACACACACACACCTAATAAATCAGCCAGACACCATCCCACCCAAAACCTTTTAGTGAGTAGCATAAAAAAACGTATTTTATGTCATAGATCAAAACGTTGAAATCTCATTAGCTTTGTGAGAATTGGTCGATAAACGAGTTCCAAAAACCATTGACTTAGAGATGAGGGAGACGGAAGTGGTGAAATAAGGCTAAGTCATTTCCGGGCGTTAGGACTCATGGTGTATTATATTATCTTTGAAATAATAATAGTACTCAGGCAGGCAGACACCTACCGATACAAGAACCGTAAATCATGAGATCAAAGTTTATATTTTAGAAGTGGAAAAAACTAAAGAATCGTTGGGTGATGCATTGCTCTCTCATTGTGGGAGGTTATCTAAAAGCAGAATGTGATATCTATAATATGAAGGTGTTATGTTATTTTTAAGGGATAATGGCGAGTTAACTACGGACAATCATGCAATTAATTGTGATTATATATTTTAACCAATGGGCTGCCGTATTGCTAACTGGGTTGAACTGACTCGATCCAGGGCTCATGTTCGAATCCGACCTGGGACCATTTGCTGGGTGTCTTCCCCTCTGTCTCCCCTTTTCAACCTCAGTCTCTTCAATTTAGGCACTAGTGGCTCGACAAATCTTAAAAAAGAAGAAAACGATTGACAGCTCTCATTTAAAAAAAAAAAAAAACGTTAACACAGTTTGCCTGAAGCCCCACCCTCTCACTGCTCCTGTACGTATCTCTGCCTCAGAGCAGCATGTGTGTGCCAGGCCTCAGCACATGCCCTCACACATAGTGCTCCAGGCACCTTTAACCCTTCAGCAGGGGCCCACTACATATGGTTTACCACGTACACACACGTACACACACACTCAGTGCTCCCTCACAGACGTGCTGTTGCCACGGGCGACAGGAATGTCCCCTCCTCCGCACCACACCTCCGTGCTACTGAGACCCTCAGGTCCACAGTAGCCCACTGACGGCTCCTGGGCCCCTCAGCTGCTGGTGATGCTTTTTGGTAAAATGTGCATCATGTGATAGAGTCGCTGCACCGCATGTGTGAATCTGATCTGCACCCCCCCTCTGTGATTTGTCATGGCTCGCATTATTTGTATAACTGCTGACTAATCAATTAACATAGGCCCTGACTAGATCCATTCTGTGTCCCCCCCGCTCTCATCCTGTGACTCTCTTAAGTCAATGAATGCTGCTGTTTAAAAGAAATGATGAATCTTCTCTACCAGTTTTGTCCGTTTTTATTTTAATCTTTGAGAGTCCTAATTGCAGATCATTAATAAACAGGTGGGGATTTCTAAGAACATTGTAGGTTCAAAAGAATGTCGGGGGGGGGGTTATATTCAGGGAAAACCGAATTTCTGAGATTAAAGTTTGCTGTTTACAAGAATACATAACAATGTTTACTGTTGTTATGAATTGGGAAAGACGTTTTACAAACCAAAACATTTTTTTTTACCAGGCTCTAAACATTTATTTCTGCTGTCAAATTAGGCATTTTAACATGGAGATTATTTTGACATTAATTTTTCTACGTGTTTGTTATCTCAGAGAAACAGTTTTTCCTTGTAAATCTGTGAGTTTTTCTGATAAATGTACAACTTTAATCTCAGGAATTCAAAGTTTTTTGTCTCGTAGACCTTTAAGGTCTTGGGTTATTTCCTCTCCGACTCTGAAATATAATTTTTATTTTTGTATTCCTTTGTAGGTTTCAGGCCCAGTCTGCTACTACGTTTCATTCTTGGGTGCTAAATTGAAAACAGTTAAAAGCGTTAAATAACCTGAGCGTGAATTCACCGTCCCTTGCCTCCTGTGAACTACAGTCCATGTAGTCCCCACACACACCAGTGTCTGCGCTGCAGTAGAAGCATGTTCTTCTTGACCGGCTGCTTGACTAAGCACGGTGCTTGTAGTGTTCCTCAAAAAGAGCTTCAGCTATTCTGCAAAATAAACGTAATCCCTGAGAGGCAAGTGAGAAATAAAAACTGGTGACCCTTAATTTATTTCTCTCCTTGGTATGTGACTTAAAAACAGGTGGGAAACAGTCAGGACATTGTGGTAATACTTATGTTGGCCACAAGAGGCAGATGAGAGCATAAATCAATTAAAACGAAATTATTATTAATTATAAATGATTTATCTTTAAAAAAGTATCCTGGCAAATATGTTTTAATGGGAGAGAAAACAATTAAGCTCATACTTTGAAATAAATAATCACCAGAATTATTTATATCCTATTTGCTTCTCAGAGCTTCCATAGAACAATTGAAAGTGAAAAAATACATTTAGTTGTTCTTTACGCAACGACGCTCTGAGCATTGTGGATGGCTTTGAAACTGAGCAGTGTGTTACGGAGAGTGTGTGTAACCACTGTTGTTGTGCCTGGGCCTCCATCAGGACGGAGATGCCTTGGAAACAGGAACCAAAAAGTTTGAGGACTTGGAGTTTCAGCAGCTGGAGAGAGAGAGCAGCCTGGAGGAGGAGAGAGAAACCATGAGTCAGCAGCTGCTGCAGGAGAGAGCCGAGTACCATCGCATTGTGGCCAAGAGGAAGGTGAGGGAACTCCTGACAGGCTTCAGCACCACAGTATATAATGGATCGGTTTCTGTGTAGGAGTTGAAGCAAACAATGACACTGTAGACATTCTTATACCGAATTAATTAAATAATAGTAATGATCTCCATTTAGTTACATTTGTCCAATCAATGACGTTTTGTGGGGTTATTGTTTTTGTGTATTTATCATCATTAATCATTTCATTTAGCCTATTGTTTACACTTCTATGGTCGTGGTTAGGTTGAAGAACAAACGAGAAATGTTCTTGAAAGATATTAGACTTGTATTAAAAGTAGTTGCACCCTTTCAACACAGAATACCCACAATACAATGCAACCAAATGTAATTAAAATAGCTGAAAGTAACACTGCCATCATATGAATATACATATATTTAATGAAATTCAATAGAAAAGGGACCATTTGAAAAACAATGGATTCATCTTATTTAAAGATAGTACATTTATTGTATGAATAATATATATATTTGTGTATGTTTTAATTTATAATTCATATATATTGAATTAGTTAATATGATATTATATATATATTTATGATAATAATATTACAAATGTAAATGATTAATGATTTAAAATAGATTTTAATGAACTATAAAGCTTTAAAAAAAGGTTATTTAGAATCCTGTGTAAAAAGAATACAGTGTCCACTCACACACACCAGGCAGCCAAACAGACACCAACATCTGGAGAGTTTGTTGTTTGTTTTCAATATTTCTTTTCAACAATACTATTATAACTTCCACCACAGACATCTGGCGTTTCCACACAGAGGTCTTAAAGTCAGACACCTTGCAGTCAGGCATCCATGTATCCTGTCCTGCCACACTGTCACAGAGCAGCTTGCATTAATGATGTCTTTCTCTCCCCCCCCCCCAGGAGAAGGTGTCTGCTCTGGAGAGCCAGGCCAACCAGCTGGGCCTGCAGGCGTCTCAGGAGTGTGAGCGGCTGGCCAAAGACCGGACCCTCACCCTGCAAATGCTCCAAAAGGTACCAAGTAACACTCACTCTATGAGTACATGGAATAAAAGCTCACCCTGAGTATTTTAATTTTTTTAAAGTACAGATTATTGCCTGTGTTTTATCTTTCTAATTCTGATATGTGTGCCTAACAGGAGAAGGACAGGCTGTCCGCCCTGGAGAAGAGATACTACAGCTTGACGGGAGGAAAGAACTTCCCCAAGTCCTCCACTGCCATGAGAGAGGTAAGACCACTCCCAGAAACACAAACTCACACTCCGTGCTCCTGGCCTGAAAACAGTGAGGACTTTTCAGGCCTCAGCTGATTCCATCCTCACCACCATGAACCCCTTTAACTCTAAGTGTTGTAAAGGAGTGATCAGACTAATGGCAGGATTGTTTGTGCCCGTTTGTTTACAATGTGGAGTTGCCGATGATTGGTGTGTGGAGCAAACTAATCATTACATGGTCACCACATCACCATCACACATGTGCAACAGCTGATGATTTAAAGGGTAACTCCTGTGTTTCCCAGCTATTATTTACCTGGACCCTATTCATGAGCTAAGAGGGGCCTTTTTTGGGTTTTCCATTTCCTGTAGTGCAGTGTTTGCTGCATGTAAAGGGTCTGCAAACGCTAGAATTCCAAAGTTGCTCTCCCACACGGTAAGGAGCGGGCCATCTCTTGGTTTGACATGCTGCTGCTACGAGAAATCTCCATATTTTTGGGATGAATATGATCTTATCTTATTTTATCTTAGCGTTTGACCAATCATAACTGGGCCGGCCAGCTAACCAATCAGAGCAGACTGGGCTCTGGTTTCAGACAGAGGGTGAAAAGAGGTGCTGCAGCACAGGCAGTATGAGAAAAATAAAGAGCTTTTTGAACATTAAAGCGTGGAGACATGTCACAGTGGAGACACAGAATACAAATATGAACCTAAAAATGAGCATAATGAGCCCCTTTAAAAAAAAACTAACACATTTGGGCCACACTTTTGTGTAATGTGAATCTGAGAAACATTTTAAAGCAGGGTCCAGGCTTTCAGTATCGAGGGGTTTAAAGCTTCTTAACATCATTAATATCGTTGAAATGCAAAGTCAACGAATGCTACAACTTTCTTTCTGCTCAGTTGCAGACAAATAGGCTGACAAATACAGAAGTTACCCTTTAACAGAGGAAGGGCAAACGGCAGAACCTGATTCACACAATCCTTCATTTATTCTGGCGAGCAGAAGTTGTGTTGCATCAGTTTTCTGTAGGCATTAAAGGCTTATTCCTGAATTGTTGAAACAGGATGCGCTCCGTGTCAGCGAGGCAGACCTGTTGTCGGAGGACGTCCACTCCTCCCAGCATTCCCTCTGTCGAGCCTCTGCTTCCTTCTTACATCCCCCTCCTCTCTGTCAGTTGTACCCCAGCAGCCCTACAGAGGTAACCAGACTAATGATCGCTGCATGAAGCCCCCCCGCTCCCCCCTCTGCTGTTTTGCTGTTTTTGTCCGGGTCACAGTTCCACTCTAATTGCACCGGTTTTCACTCGGGTCGCTTGTTTTTAGAGCAGCCAGCACAGCAGCTTTCAGTTTGAGTTGGGTTTGGTCCGAGCCCAGGGATGTAGTAGAAGAAGCCTCAATTCCCATGCTTTTGACACACAAATAACCATTGTTGAACAGGAGCAAACATTTATATCTGATAGAGGTTGTATATAGGGCTGTACTGAATGTTGTTTTCTTGAATGTTCCGTCATATTTTAAGATGTCATCACACTGAAAAAAAACATATTAAGCTTTACATTTCAGTGCTATTGGATTAGATGCTTTGTCTGGTTCAAGACGGAGGCTAAACCGTTTTTAAAAGCATTGACAATGTTGTTTTTGAAAAGCTAAAAGACAATAAATATAGATTAAATTAGAATATTTCCTTAAATAAAAACATGCCATGGATTAGGGCTGCTCAATTAATCGTATTTTAATCGCGATAACGATTATGGCTTGCAACGATTACGAAAACAACGTAATCGAAATAAAACGATTATTTTTTTATTATTATTATTACTTTTTATTTATTTTTTGGTTTTTCAGTTGAATTATACTTGAAGTTCAGGGTAATCAACTGTTAAAAACATACTGTTCACATTTTTTTTCTCCAATACATTTTCAAAGTAAATGGATAATCGTTTTTAATAATCGTGATATCAATTATTGACCCAAATAATCGAGATTATGATTTTTGCCATAATCAAGCAGCCCTACCATGGATCTTGCAAATGAATACATCTATTCCTTTTTTTAACCCATTTTATCTTTTGGACTTTCCACATTCATATCTCAGTTGTCCAGCAAGATAAACACGTCCATACAGTCACTCTCAGAGATACATCGGGATGTTGAGATGACTTGTATGAGCAATGAAATAAAAAATGTATAAGTGTCTGCAATCTGAACACAAGAATGCACTCAAGATGATATATAGTGTCACAACACAAAGACTTACACATCCATTTTGGAATTAGCCAGACTAACTTTCTGTCACATGGGAACTAGAAACACTCAAACACTGCAACATGAGAAGTGAAGAGCAGGAGTCACTAGAAACACTCTGAATTATTGGTGGAGCCAGAACATTAACTGTGCACGAATACCAGCATTCGTTCGGTTTAGAATATATAAAACGGTTATGAATGAAGCTTCAAACTATTCGGCACAGCCCTATTTCAATCTAACTTGTGATGACTGGAGGTCACAATTCTTATTGACACTACATCCCTGGTGGTCGGAACAGCAAACTAGTGTGAGAGGCACTTTGTGTTGCTTGGTGTGTTCCTGTTTGTCTGTCGCGCCACTTTTTAGTTGTAACAGCAGCACTTTAACAGTCGGGTTTGTTTTCCCTCAACGTGTGTGTGTGTGTGTGTGTGTGTGTGTGTGTGTGTGTGTGTGTGTGTGTGTGTGTGTGTGTGTGTGTGTGTGTGTGTGTGTGTGTGTGTGTGTGTGTGTGTGTGTGTGTGTGTGTGTGTGTGTGTGTGTGTGTGTGTGTGTGTGTGTGTGTGTGTGTTGTGTGTGTGTGTGTGTGTGTGTGTGTGTGTGTGTGTGTGTGTGTGTGTGTGTGTGTGTGTGTGTGTGTGTGTGTGTGTGTGTGTGTGTGTGTGTGTGTCTTTGGATAATGTAATGTATAAGCTGTAATGAGCAGTGCGCTGTAGTGTTGTCCTCATGGCTTCTCCTCCTGTCTGACTGCTGTTGGCTATGGGTATTCAGGAGTACTTGAAGCTGTCTGATGTCCATAAGCTTTACGGCAGCCCTGAAGGCAGCACGACCCCCCGCTCGCTTGATGTAGACGCTGAGTTAGCTGGCCCCGGCGAGGTACCATCACTTCCTGTCTGTCCTTTTCCTGATTCCTCCCGTCTGTCTCTCCATCCTGCCGTTTCCATGTCACGTTGCTCCCTCTGCTGGTCTGTTGCTGTTCAGCTGTTGGCTCTGCTCTCTGCTACATGTTGGAGCATCGTGGCCTCACTCTGCAGTGAGCACTCTTACCCGTACAAAGCTGCTCTTTTGTATAACCAACTGCAATTTTAAAACACCATTTGTATTTCATTTTGCATATATTTCATATTCAAATGGACAAAATAATAATTTTAATAAATAAAATTAATCAATAAAATATATAGTTATTATATTGGTATTTACCATAGGGACATTAGATCACATATTTATCACATTTTTATTAAAAATAGAAGTAAGAACAGGAATTTCAAGTCCAAGAAACTCCAATAAGGGTTTATTTGAAAATAAATACTTCTTCCACCGCTCATTATTCTTTTCTACAAGAGCATTGCTTTATACTTATATTTGGAATTTCTAATAGACAAACAGAAGTTTCCGAAGACTACGTAAGAAGTGTTTTCACATGAACTTCAGAACTTTCATGTGTGTGGATCAACATTCAGATCAACAGCAAACTATACTTTTGTATCATTTTATTCTGCATTTATCCAGTGACTGTATCCAAAGTTTTGCTTTCAAATCTATTCTGTTTAAATGCACAAGAAGTCACAAAAGTAATCAAATTAAAAAGTGATTTATGTGACTCAAGAGAACACACATGGTGATGGCAGCTTTATATTTGAATGATATGATCAGAGACCAGTTGGCTATATATACTGTACAGTATGTGGACTGCGTGAGTTTCCCCCCTGCTGCCTGTCCCGCTGACATGTCTGTCTTCACTCCTGTGTGTGTTCGTGTGTGTGTGTTGCCTCTGGAAGGAGTATGTGACAGTGAGCCAGTTGAGTCAGATGTATGGGATGCCGCAGGTGGAGTCGTCCCCTACCTCCCCGCTTCGCCAGCCCCTGCAGTCTGGACCTGTAGACCCCGCCTTCTCCTGCCTCCCCTCTCCTCACAGCTCCTCCCTCTCTCTGTCTGTAGAGGTGTGTGCTTCCTTCCTTTCTTCCTTTCTTCCTTCCTTCCTTCGTTTATCCCTTCCTTCCTTTCTTCCATTCTTCCTTTGTTCCTTCCCTCTTTCCTTTCTTCCTTCCTTCCTTCGTTCCTTCCTTCCTTCCTTCCTTCCTTCCTTCCTTCCTTCCTTCCTTCCTTCCTTCCTTCCTTCCTTCCTTCCTTCCTTCCTTTCTTTTTCCTTCCTTCCATTCTTCCTTTGTTCGTTCCTTCGTTCCTTCTGTCCTTCCTTCCTTCTTTTCTTCCTTTTTTGGCTGCCTTTGTTTACCAGCTGTCACCAGTTCAACCAAAAAGTGTTGGGTTTGTTTCATTGTAATATTTAATAATATTAACCAGTTATGTATTCTTTATTTGTAGTAAAAAAAACACTAAATACTTAAAACCAGCTCAGAATTACCATGTTTATTGATTTGTGACACCTTTAAAGTCCCCATGCTCTGGCTTGAAGTTATAGTTTCACCTGATATATAATGAATAAATCCTTAAGTTCTTAATAGTATCTCCTCTTAAATGTGTGCATACATTCTGTTATTTCTCATTCTGGTATTTTGTACAGACTGTAAGCTGTTTAACGTTTTCAGAACAATGGAAGGCAGTTTGTTCTTGTAACTGTAGTAAAAAACAATAACATCAGCGTTAATTGCAACTAGAAAACAAAGGTCTATTCTTATGCATTAAGATATTGTTAATTGTAATTCGCAGCACATGACTCCGAGGAACAAAGTAAAACATAAAATGAGATGAAAACTGAAATATCCCTATGAGTAACTGGGTCATTGCGCAGCGACATTACAGAAGAGATATGTTAAATAGGGATATGCAGCTGGAGGGTATAAAGCATAATGTTGCTGACAACAATAAAACATTGAAGATATTTAAGAATAATTTAATTAAAGCTTTTGAGGGTGTATCAAACAAATGTTCCTGCCCTCTTCCTGCTGTTTGTGAATGCTTTCTAATCTCTCTTCTTCTTTATTTCCTCTGCGCTCGCTCTCTGCTCCTCTGCAGTACCGCTCTGAGAGCAGCAGGCCTCACCTGCCCAAGCTAGATTTAGAGCAGTGGTACCAGGAGCTGATGTCAGGCTCCCCTCAGCTCTGCCCCCCCCCTCTGCCAGCCAAGTCTCAGTCGGGACGCAGGCCTGTGCTGCAGGTACAGGGCCGCTCTTCTTTCTCCTCTTTACCCCCCCATTCTTCAGCTGTTTGTCTGTGCTGTTATTCCTCTGCCAACCTTCAGCTAGGGAATACAAGTCTACATGTGTGAACAAAGCTGCGTTCACATCGTATGGAAACGTCCTATACAACGACACTGAACACACTTTCTCCCGGATGATGTCGCTTTTTTGAGGTTTGAATTGTGAATTCAAACAAAGCTAAATCACTATAGAACATCTTTGGCTAGAATATATATTTTTTCCGCTTAAAATAAATATATTTCTAATGTGATTGAAGGAAATGAAAATAAAGCAACATTAACTTTGCTTTCCCACGGGACAAAAACAGAAGTCCTGTGTTTGTTTCAGCCATCATTCAGCCCTCTTCCATAAGCACACTTCCACGGACTTTGATTAGAATCAGGATCAAAATATGTTATTCATTTCAGAGGAAAGTTACGTTTTGTGACAGTTGCACCATATTAGAATAAAATAAATACATATTTATTTAGAAAAAGAGGTAAAATATGCCTAATTAAGTCCTTGTAGCTACTGGGACACAGTCCTCCACATCACAGGGACCCTCCAAAGACTCAGGCAAAGGCTAATGGTTAAGACATGGCAAAGCTCACAATTAAAATCCTGTTGGTCCAAACAGTACGGAAGCCTTTTGATGGAAACGTCCCCCACAGTGCGGAAGCAATTGTTGGAAACACAGTTGTCAGATATATCCTGGTGCAGTACATTTTTCATAAAGCACATTAAATTAACTCCAGATATTCCATCTGACTCCTAGCTAACGCCATTAGCTTGTCCATTTCATTAGCTAGTGATCTTACAATGTCCATGATGAGGACACAGCTTATATCTCCTTTTCTCCATAAATCGAGACCCAGCTCTCTTCTTCCTTCGCTTTGGTTTACCTCTGCATCCTCTCTGTGTTCTTACAGATTTCAGTGGGCCGTACAGTATCTCTGTGGATATAGTGTGGATTGAAAGGCCATCATGTTAGATCACTCTGTGAGCGGAGGGATAAGGTGAATGGGAACTGTCCCATGTAGTTTCAAAACCAGAAACAGAGTCCAGAAACATTTTCTATGATCTTTTAATTCCGGGATGCAATACATTTCCCTACAAATGTTATTGCAAATTCTGATGTATGTCAAGCCAACTTTGGAGACCAGGCTACACACTGAAAAAGCCTCCTTGATGCCTCCAGAAAACTACGAGAAATAAAGTTCACCTCAGCTTTGATATAATAAAACAACCTTGGGAGGTATGAAGATGGTGTCTTCTTTTTATCCTGACAAACGAAAACAAACTCAGTGACACCGGGGCATGATGCGTGTTTTTGTTGTGACTGGCACTTTATCAGTGTTTGTTTTGGTGTTTAACATGAAGTCAGTTTATGTTTCGAAAAAGTCGAGACTAATCTCCTCCTACATTTATTCTGCTCATGGAACCTTCACTTATTGTTTTTTATTTATTTTAACATTGTCCATGTTCCATTACATTACATTGCATTTAGCTGACGCTTTTATCCAAAGCGACTTACAATAAGTGCGTTCGACCAACAAGATACAACCTTGAAGAAAACAGAATCATATAAGTACATCAGGTTTCATAGAGCCAAACATTTCAAGTGCTACTCAACTGGCTTTAGGTGAGCCAGTCCTTTATTAGTATATAAGTGCTTTGTTAATAGTTCTATCGCTCGAGGTGGAGTCGAAAGAGATGAGTTTTCAGTCTGCGCCGGAATATGTGCAAGCTATCTGCTGTCTTGATTTCAATGGGGAGCTCATTCCACCATTTTGGGGCCAGGATAGCAAACCGACGTGTTTTTGCTGATGGGAACTTGGGTCCCCCTCGCGGTGCGGGTGCAGCGAGCTGTTTGGCTGATGCAGAGCGGAGTGCACGTGCTGGGGTGTACAGTTTAACCATGTCCTGGATGTAGGAAGGACCAGATCCATTCGCAGCATGGTAAGCAAGTACCAGTGTCTTGAAGTGGATTCTAGCAGTTACCGGAAAGCCAGTGAAGGGAGCGGAGGAGCGGAGTGGTGTGGGAACATTTAGGAAGGTTGAAGACCAGACGAGCCGCTGCATTCTGGATGAGCTGCAGAGGTCGGATGGCACATGCAGGTAGACCAGCCAGGAGGGAGTTGCAGTAGTCTAGGCGTGAGATGACGAGAGCCTGGACCAGAACCTGAGTCGCTTTCTGTGTCAGCTGGGGACGTATCTTCCTGATGTTGTAAAGCGTGTATCTGCAGCAGCGGGTTGTAGCAGCGATGTTTGCAGTGAAGGACAGGTTGTTATCTAGGGTCACACCCAGATTCCTTGCAGTCTGAGTCGGGGAAACAACAGAGGTGCCAATGTTGATTGTTAGGTCAAGAGTGGGACAATCTTTTCCCGGAAGGAAGAGCAGCTCAGTCTTGTCAAGGTTGAGCTTGAGGTGATGAGCAGACATCCACTGAGAGATGTCAGCTAGACAAGCAGAGATGCGTGCGACGACCTGGGTCTCTGAGCGGGGAAAGGACAGAATTAATTGGGTGTCGTCAGCGTAGCAGTGGTATGAAAAACCATGCGGGCTAATGACTGATCCGAGCGAGTTTGTGTACAGGGAGAAGAGGAGGGGACCAAGAACAGAGCCCTGAGGGACCCCTGTAGTTAATTGACAAGGGTCGGACTCGGACCCTCTCCAAGTGACCTTGGTGGTACGGTCTTTGAGGTATGAGGTGAGGAGGGAAAGTGCAGAGCCTGAAACTCCAAGTTCTTGGAGAGTGTGAAGGAGGATCTGATGGTTCACCGTGTCGAATGCAGCAGACAGGTCCAACAGGATGATGACAGAGGAGAGGGATGCTGCTTTAGCAGTGTGCAGTTCCTCAGAGACAGCAAGGAGGGCAGTTTCTCTGGAGTGACCTGCCTTGAAACCAGACTGGTGCAGATCCAGAAGGTTGTTCTGATGGAGATAACAGGAGTTGTTTAAAGACAGCGCGTTCAAGTGTTTTAGACAGGAACGGGAGGAGAGAGACAGGCCTGTAGTTTATAACATCAGACGGGTTGAGAGTGGGTTTCTTTAGGAGAGGGTTTACTCTTGCTTCCTTGAGACTGTTTGGAAAGTGACCAGAGGTTAGAGAAGTGTTGATTAAATGGGAGAGAAACGGTAGAATATCAGGAGAGAGAGGGGAAAAGGAGGTCAGTGTGTGGGTGAACGGTGGGTCTGGTGACCCAGCGGTGAGTCAGAAAAAGAAGAGCGAATATCATCAACCTTTTTTTCAAAGTGGTTAACAAAGTCGCTTGACAGGAGGGGGAAGGGGCTTTGGGGGGGTCCAAGAGGTCGGTGGAGAAGATGGAAAATAATTTGTTGGGATTGGAATAGGAAGATTGGATCTTATCTTGAAAGAAAGCAGAGAAAGAGGAGATAGGTTAGGAGGTCGTCATGGTGTTTGGATTTCCACCGTTTCCGCTCTGCTGCCCGAAGGACGGTTCTATTAGCACGCAGTGCCTCATTTAGCCAGGGAGCAGGAGGGGACTGACGAGCCTGCCAAGATGTGAGAGGACAGAGAGAGTCCAGAGAGGATGAGAGAGTAGAGAGGAGAGTTTCTTCAGCAGAGTTTGGAGGCAGGAGTCCCTCTCAGCATTTTGTTTCCCAGCAGATGCTTGCACGTCATACATGGTGTGGATTCCTCACGTTGTCTGTATCAATCAGGACTTCCTGAAATTGATCTCTCCTGCTCTGTGCTCCCCCCCCCCCAGGTGTTCCGCTCTAAGCTGGACAGTGATCCGGTTCTGTCTTTCCACCAGCCCAAACCCGGCTCGGTCCCCCCTCTGCAGCACGGAGCAGCAACGCTGGGACGCAACTCCAGCTCCAGGGTGAGCAGCGTCTTCCTGTCAAACACGTCTCCAACCTTTATTTTGTCTTTATTATCAGGGGCTTCACTCAGATATTTTATTCTATACAGCATTCTACTGTGTGGAAGAATAGACCCCACTGGTATTATACTGTAGTTTTGTACGACAATATAATTACCCATGATACACATTGTTTACGTATTTATTTGTTTGTTTATCTACAGAAATAATGTAATTTAAATCTGTACAGTAACACTATAAAATGGACTCTTGGAATATAAATGGGAGATTTTCTGTCAATCCAAATGAAAATTAAAACGTCCTTAAATTCCCCTTAAACCTTGATAATTGTTGAAAGCAAATATTTGTTCAGTATTTATTTATTTAATGAATTCATTCTCAATATTCCACCTGCTCCCTCTGCCCCTGCAGAGCCCCCTGCTGGCAGCCAACAGCACCGGCAGTCTGCCCAGGAACCTGGCTGCCACCCTGCAGGACATCGAGACCAAGAGGCAGCTGGCTCTGCAGCAGAAAGGTAAAACCTCCTGAAGAATTCATCCTGCAGTGTCCATTAATCAACATGAATGATTCAGTCATAATTCCCTGCCTAACACTGTTTACTCATTTAAGGGGAAAGTATTTGTCGTGAGTAATTAGAGCAGGAATTAACTTAATGATCGCAATTTATCATTAATACACATTGCCACGTACAACTCATTCACTTCAACAGGTTTCTTTTAATCATGCAAAAATAATACTCATAACAAAATAGACACCATCATGCAGAGGTGGGGGACTCGAGTCACATGACTTGACTCGAGTCGCATATTTTTGGACTTGCTTGACTAACATTGATAAAAGATTTAACTTGACTTTGACTTGGTATTCATGACTTAAGATTTGACTTGACTTCAGACAGATGACTCGAAAGGACTTTACTTTTTAAAATTAAATATTTGCATTTGTTTTTGTATTGTACGGAGCCCCAATGAAAAAAATACTGTATCTCGTTCGCACGAGAAAGTTACCGGAGCGCCAAGTAGGAAGTGGAGCACACAGGAGACAAGCGTTTCATTGCCGACTGTAATGTTTATGTTGGGAAATGGCAGTGCATACATTATTTTAGATATATTTCAAACTCGGACTCTCATTCACTTCATGAAATCGCTACAGCACCAGGAGGCAGCGGGACGTGTAACTCCGCCTCTGAGAAGTGCAGCACCAGCGCGCAAAGAGCTGTGCCTTTTATGCAACGCCTTCACTGTGTTTACTTTCATTAGAACGGCTAAAGAGCGACCGCAGGCTGCTACGTTTTAACCACACACACCTCTACAAACACACACACACCTCTACACACATCGAACTGCCCGATTAATCCCCCTATTACTCGTTTTATGAAGGAGAGGTCCGGTCACTAAGGCGCATGATGTGTGTTTGTGTTCTGCTCAGCTCTGCTCTGTGTGTGTGTGTTCAGTGTGTTAGTGTGTGTCCGACAATGGCATTTGTTTTCAAATTACCATGAACAGTCATTTACTCTGCTGTGACCCTGCTGAAGGGGAGCCAGGGCAGGAGGCTTAACATGTTGATGTAAAATATTTGTGTTGTACTCCTGTTTTCACTTTAAGCCCTTTTAGAACTTATAGGGTTATCATTTCAGCGCCCCATTCTTTATTGCTGTTTATGTTGAAAATAAAACTAAACTTTTCATAACCACAATATTTTAACTGATTTAAATGCGGAAACTGGGGTTATTCATCAGAATTACGTATGACTTGACTTGTGACTTGCTTGACCTGAGCAATGACTTGACTTGACTTGCTTGACTCTCACCACAGTGACTTGGGACTTGCTTGAGACTTGTAGGTTAAGACTTGAGACTTGCTCATGACACATGTATGACTTACCCCGGGATTCCACCGGGTCCGTCTGTGTTACGGCCCGTCCACACGGCGGCCTGCGTTCAACGCTTCTGCCCATTCACTTTGAATGGGGTGACGTCACGCTTTGCCGAACTGCATTGTGGGAGCGTCGCTTCACTTTGCTCGTTACTCGCTTCAAAAGTTGAGCAATGTTCTACTTTTGAAGCTTCAACGGAAGCGTCAGCCAATCAAATCATATGCCAGTACAAGCTCTAGCCAATCAAACCGCGTGCTTGTGTGTCCGGGGCGGGAGATTCATGCGATTGGTTGTTGGTTGAGTTTCAGACACACCAGCCGGCAAGCTTCAACGCACGCCGCCATGTGGACGCTGCGTTACGGCCGCGCCGCGGTGTTCACATAGATCGCAGCCACTCTACTCAATGGGTGCGTTACGGCTCAGAAGCGTCCCAGAAGTGACTCGGCGCTGGGCTCCGCAAAAGATACGCGGCTGGTCTATTTTCGACGCGAGGCGTTGCATAGCACCGGGCAGGAAGTGGACCGGTCAGAGCATCCAGTCAATCACCAAAATAAACTAATTTTGCAGACCCTATCCCTCCGTAGTTTTTCAAGTAGGAGGAGAAATGCCAGCGTTCTCCTCCGGTTTACAGGCACAGTGTACATTATATTTATAGAATAATTATGATGATGAATGCATTTTTTTTACCACTAAAATACAGCAACACATCTTTGATTCATGTCGTTTATAACTGGGATATTACAATTATTATTAACTTTGTCTGTACAAATCAACAAAAACTGCGAGCCGGCAGGCAAGACGCTCCGCTTCTGAAACGCGCCCGGTGAGGTTTGACGCTGTAGGAGGTCGGAACAAAACCGTGGCACAGCCGTAACGCGGCGCAGACGGCGCCGGGGTAACTCCCACCTCTGCTATCATGACATAATAAAAGAAAATAAAACAGAAACATTAAAATAATCAGGATCCCTTTCGTAATTAATTACAATTAATATATTTAAAACTGACACATGTGTATGACATAATAATATATATATATATATATTATGTAATGTTTTATTTAGTCCAAATCTTCACTAGAGGTTTTTTTCCCCCACTTTTCTTATTTGTAAGAGTATGATGCAATTTTTTTTTTTTTATAAATTCAAACATACGCTGTTCGAAGTCAACAAGCATTATGAAGGACAGTCTTTCCCACCCTCTATGTCGGGACCCAATGAGGATAGATACATTTTGTGTGTGTGTGTGTGTGTGTGTGTGTGTGTGTGTGCGCGCGCTTTAGTGTTGTTTAACCAGAGAAATGCAGTCACTAGGTTGGAAACCCGATTTAGTCTGATTTATCCGTGTCTGCAGTTCCTTCATGTCTATCTGTGTGTGTGTATTGTCTCCTCCTGCGCTCATGCACCACAGAGCCCCTGACCTCCAGACAGAACTCCATAGATGGAAGCTCTGCAGATAGATGGATCTCTGCGTCCAGGAGTCCTTATTTCTTCTGCTTTTCTTCTTTTTGTTCAGCAGGATTTAAACATACGTCTCAAACAAGGTCTGGAATGAACTGGATTTCTCTGTAGAGTAAAGTGAAGTTATTTAACTCACTCAAAGAGCTCCCCTATTGTTTACTTTACATTAAGCTAGGTTGTGTTTGAAGGGATAGTTGGGGTTTATTTGTGGAACTTATCTATTGGCAGTGTATTTCTCTTAGTAGATGACAGGAGGACAAGTATTGGGGCTAAGCAATAAGCTAAGCCGAACCTTTTGTTTATGGTAGCAGCAGCAGAACTAACCTAAAAAGAAAGCCCAACAAAAAAATCTGATTAACTGTAGGCACCACTCTGCTTGGTTTCCATGTTGTACCTTCAGTCCATTTCTCCAAACTGCTGACCATCTACTGTAGCTAACACACTGTTGATGGATCTAATAAAAGCGTTCTTCAAACAATGTGAATCATCGCTTTAAGCTACCAGGGGGCTAATGAACCTTGCAGACAGAGGAGAGGCAGAGCATTATACAGCAGACAGCCAATCAGGAAGCAGCTTCAACAGACCAAAGACTGTATGTACCTTAAAAATTCAAGTCCTATTTAAAACTAAAGCCGGTCTGGCAGGTTACTCTTATTGATTTCTCCTTCAAAGGTAACATTTACCAGAACTTGACACTTGGCAGCTGTTCATTTCAGACCCCGTCTTCTTCATCTCTGGTGTGTCGTTAACTCTTTCCCAGCGAACATTTCTTTTCATCTTTTTTTTTGGGTCTGTTACATCGAAGCAGGCTTTCGTCTCCCATCTATTTTCTATGAATGTTCCTGCTGCTGGAGAATAAATCTTGCATGTTCAGCGTTCAGCGAGCTCCTCCTTTTTGAGATATCGACCTGGACACTTCTCTCCAGATGTGAGAGCTTATTAGACGGTGCACAGCAGCTTGGAGTTGAGATGGGAGAAGTTGGATGGATTCTGAACTTTATGGTGAAGGGCTTAATGGGTTTTCTTGCAATCATCCTTAAGCTTGGTTACGACAGTGCATTAGGGCCATTGTGGGAGGAAAACAAACAATTAAGAAGCCATGGAACGAGGGTCATATCCGAGAAAAACTGTGATTAATAATTATCTAGTTATTTTACTAGATAAAACCTGAATAAATTGTGATTAGTTTTTTCTAAAGGAACCACATGACGTAAAAATCATCCTACAGTGGATGACGTTATCGAACACTTTGCAATCAGATTAAGCAATAAGGGAAAAAAGTTGTTTTTTGTCCAGAAGCTACGGTGGCTGACAGGTGCGAATGCGCTTCAACCGCCCAAAACACTTCCATCAGCAGAAATGCTCTGCAGCTTCGAAAATGATCCAAATACAAAAACAGAAATATGTCAAAACACACTGGTCATACAAAAACACATTTGTGTTTTTATATTTGCAAAGTTTCTGAAGCTGCAGCGCGTTTCTGCTGATGGAAGTCATTTGGGCCGTTGTAGTGCGTTTGCACCTGTCGGCCACCGTAAGGGTCACCATATTATCATAAGCATCCAGACTTTGAAGACACATTGCTGTCAAGTCGATTTATAAGAACCACAAACTGACTTAAAGGAGGAAGGATATCCCCATGTTCATATTGCTGAAGTGAAGCCATCTGGTCCCTTGACAACCAAAATATGCACGATTTTTCTCAAAGAATATTTGTTTTGTTTTTTACAATATTTTTTGGGCCACCAGTGCCTTGAAGAGTTATAAAGGGGAGACAGAGGGGGTGACACGCATCAAATAGTCCCAGACTGGATTGGAACCCTAGTCCTCCGCATAAAGGCCCAGAATATATATATTTTTAATACATTTATTAAAATGTTCTCCTGAAATAAATGTACCATTTTATTTTCAGAGAAATTTCCTCTTATTTTCCCTGATTGTTTTCTGTCTATCTCTTGAGCTTTTTCTCAGAATATGACCCCTGTCCCCTGACACAATAATGTATGTATTTGTTTGACTTACAATGGCCATCGTACTCGTGTTACTGAGGGAGAACATCATTATATCTTTGGTGCTTAGAGGAGGCATGTGGCGTAGTGGGTTAGTGCGTTGGTGTTCGGATCAGGGGGGCACAGGTTCAAACCCCACTGCAGTCAGCATGTCGTTGTGTCCCTGGGCAAGACACTTCACCCCAAATTGCTCCTGTGGGGATTGCCCACAGTATTGTATATGTAAGTTGCTTTGGATAAAAGCGTCTAATAAGTAATGTAATGCTTGGTGTTCTGGTCATGCAGTCTGTGGCTGGTGACGGTTGTGGTTCTTCAGGATTTAGATATTCCATTTTCTGCTTCATTTTAAAGTCAGAACTTTCCCTGATCATCTCCCCCCCCCCCCACCCAGGTCAGCAGGTGATCGATGAGCAGCGGCGGCGCCTGGCGGAGCTGAAGCAGCGTGCGGCGGTGGAGGCTCAGTGCCAGTGGGAGGCGCTGCACGGCTCTCAGTCACACCTCATGACCTCACCCTCCTACTCCCCCATCATGTCGTACAGCCACGGCTCCGGAGGCGGCCCCCCCCTGGTGCACCACTCCATCCTGCACCACCACCCCCCCTCAGCCGGGGAGCAGCCCTACGACACCCTGAGCCTGGAGAGCTCCGACAGCATGGACACCAGCATCTCCACCGGCAACAACTCAGCCTGCTCGCCTGACAACATGTCCAGGTACACAGGCAGATCCTCTCTCCTTTACCAGGGTGGTGGGTCGTTTTGGGTTATTTTGTATGAATTCAAATCGCCTAAATAATGTTTACAAGCCTGAGATTATTTAAATGATCTCCCAATAAAAACTAGGACTAAATACGACTTTTCTTTCGAAGACTATAGCTGCATTCATATGATACGTAATTTTGGCAAGGTTGGGCGCAGAGTTTTGCGTCTAAAACAACTAGTTCAGTTTGGTTCCGTCCGTTACTAGCTTATGAGCTACATGCATCCTTAATCTGATTGGTTGTGCTTTGAAATGTCAGCGGTAAACAAGGTCATAGTTGAAGTGTTTTAAATAATGTTAGCGCAGCACTCGATTTGGCGATTTTCAGCAGTGCTGCACCGATCCCTCCATAGAAACAGAACGGGGAATGTCAGCGCAGAGCCGTTTAAGATGAGGCGTTGATAAGACGGCACCGACATCATGGAACACTTACCGTGACGATATCGACATGGAATATTGTTGACAAAAAAGGATAAATCATTATCAAGGAGTGGAACCGCATTCTGTGCCATGGAAACCGCATACGGGCCGCAATCTCTAACCACTGAGCGATCCGGTGTCCAAAATTCCTATACTTATTGACAAAAAGGAAGAGACACATTGAATAGACTATTACAATGTATCACCACATTCCTGAAGTTTAAGATAACAATGACGAGAGAGCTTTGGAAAGCAAAAACAGGTTTTAAAAGAAAGAAATGAAAAGGATGAATACATCCATTGACGAAAACAGTTTTTATGAACTTAACTACATGTAAATACATAGTTAGGGTTTTATTAAAGTAGATTACAATGCCAAGACTTTAAGTTAGCTAAAGTCACTTTGTGGCTCTCTGGGATTTAAATTACAATGTTGATTTTTTAGAAGTTTTTACATGCGTCTTAAACACTGATGAAAGGGATTTCCTGGGAATTGTGGGGGAAATAGTTCACAATACTGCCTATAGTATACAGTATACAGCTATTGCCCTACAGATAATGTTTGAACCCCATCTTATATTAAACTGATTTGATATGAAATGATGTCAGATGTAGAAGTCAGGATATGAAATGTCTCAGATGAATTTTGAAGTCAGGTGGAGGTTGTGTGCTAACCCTGTGCTGCTGCGTTTGATTCAGTTTCGGAGGAGTGGACACGCTGAAGATCGAGGAGATGGAGAAAATGCTGAAGGAGGCGCATCTGGAGAAAGCCAGACTTATCGAATCGCGGGTAAGACTGGATAATAGAGTTACTGTAAGAGTATGGATTATCCAGAATCCATACGGAGTGATTGATGAGAGTTCTGACTGTTTTTCTGTCAATAGCTCTCACTGATCTCAATTTTTGATAAAAAAAAGCTTCTGGGTAGCAACTCCAGTTTCAAAGGTCTTCCTCTCTTTGTGTCCTGATGAAGACGAGGAGACTGAAATAAAAATATCTTCTCTGCTCTGAAGCTTCTCCCACACTTCTCCTGTCACTGAGCAGCCTTTGCTAACTAGTCCTTTATAAATAATACACTCATTGTGTCAGGTTCTTTGGGGTTTTTGGCCTTTTTCCAAAGTGTGCCTGAACCGCTAAGGCTGGAGGACAACATGGGACACATCGTTTTGTTTCTTAGTCTTTATTTGAAGTCCTTGAAACCTATGGAGACAGACGGGTCATTATCTGGAACGTTCAGGTTGAAAACAAAAGGTGTCTCTAATGCCGCACACACGCCCTTTCCTGAGGTGGCTTTACGGAACATATTAAAGCGGACGTAATAATATCCGCCTTTTCAGTATACGCTTATTGGGATTACAACAACTAAGAATCTGACATCTCGGTATATAAAAGTCATTCATTATATATATTTTTTCATAATTTCTGTTGCAAATGTTGCACCTTTTAATAAGTTCTCTTTTTATTACTCATTAAATTATTATCCTTAAAAAAGTTGCTTTTCAAATAAGAAAACATGTTTAATTACAATTCTATAATAAGTGTATAGCTTTAGTGTGTATCCCCCCCACCTCACCGCGCAATCCCAAACAAATAAATAATACAAATTAAGAATACATAATAATACAACCTTTTTAACGACAGTTGTGGTAATAATTGATCACGAATTAAACTAATAATGACATAAGAAATATAAATAATTATTATAAAATAAAATAATATACCTCTGTGGGTTTAGTTTATTTTACTTTCCTCCTCCATCTCACATCAAACAGCTGGATGTAACCCTTTGATTTGTTTTTTGAGTTCAGTTTTAACTATTTATAAAGTAAGTAAAGCTGATTTAATCCATGATGTCACTCCTTTGACTCAGATCAGTTTGCCTTCATGGACCATACTAACTAATAATAACTCCTCTCATACATGGATAGATAATGAATCTGTAAACATGTTTAGAATAGTATGAAGTTACTTCAAAGCTCATGTCACCATAAGAGCTTTTTTACAAGTGTGTTGAATACAACTCTGACTGTCTTAAAGAGGCCTGTATGCTTTTTGGTTTTCCCTTTCCTGTAGTGTGTTATACAGTATAGGTTTGTGTGCATGTACATGCTCTGCAAAGGCACACACACACACACACACACACACACAAATTCCCCCCATTTTGTTGACAGATTCATTGTGAAAGTAATTTTTCTGGCAAAAATATCAGAAGCGTTAGTTTTCTCTTATATGGAGATGTCCTGCTTTCATAACATGTTAAGGTGAATATTTGTTGCTGTTAAACGGACAGAACAATACATTGCATGCCTCAACCTGGAATTTGAGAGGCTGGGATGCACATTTTTCATATTTTTTCTAAGTCTGATCAATCGATGACTTCCAAAACGAATTGTCAGATTTATCTATGATGAAAATAAACTGTATCTGAAGCCGTTCACACTCCAAACAAACGTCCCTACAGAGCTGTGAGAGCTCACTGAGAGCGGACCCATCGCTGCTGCCGTCATCAGTCTCTGACGTCACTTCAGATGAATAAATACGAATTTCTTAAAGTCAAATTCAGGACTGTATTATAAACAACGATGCACCATTTTGTTTGTATTTCTCCCCTCCAGAGGCCTGTACCACGATGCCAGTCAACAGACCCTGGATATGTTTGAGTTATCTTAACTAACCCTAACAAACGAGATCTCGCTAAGCGGTCCTACGACGCTGGTTATCAACTCGGTGACTCAAGCCAGGGTTTCTCTGTGCGGCTGAGTGCGCGTTCACATGAAAGGGGCGGGGTTAGCAACATTTCACCAATAGGGTGGTCCTTAGTGCCATTTACATTTTCAAATTCATTTATTTTAAGCTCCAACCACCGGAATTCGTTATGATAGTCAAGAAAACTCTCCTGGTGAATCTTATTCAAATTCCAACAACATTTACCCCTCGCTCATCGACCTGGGCTGCCATACCAGCAGCCACGGTGCTGCAACTGAGGCTACACTTCCAGGTTGATGAGGGAGGGGTACATGTTGCAGGTCGATGAGGGAGGGGTACATGCTGCAGGTCGATGAGGGAGGTGTACATGTTGCAGGTCGATGAGGGAGGGGTACATGTTGCAGGTCATGAAGGGAGGGTGACATGTTGCAGGTCGATGAGGGAGGGTGTACATGCTTGCAGGTCGATGAGGGAGGGGTACATGTCTGCAGGTCGATGAGGGAGGGGTACATGTTGCAGGTCGATGAGGGAGGGGTACATGCTGCAGGTCGATGAGGGTGAGGTGTTTTGTTACATGTGCAGGTCGATGAGGGAGGGGGTACATGTTGCAGGTGCATGAGGGAGGGGTACATGTTGCAGGTCGATGAGGGAGGGGTACATGTTGCAGGTCGATGAGGGAGGGGTAATGTTGCAGGTCGATGAGGGAGGGGTACATGTTGCAGGTCGATGAGGGAGGTTGTACATGTTGCAGGTCGATGAGGGAGGTTTGTACATGTTGCAGGTCGATGAGGGAGGAGGTACATGTTGAGGTCGATGAGGGAGGGTGTACATGTTGCAGGTCGATGAGGTCGATGAGGGAGTGTACATGTTGCAGGTCGATGAGGGAGGTGGTACATGTTGCAGGTCGATGAGGGAGGTGACCTGTTAGAGGTCGAGGGGAGGGGTACATGTTGCAGGTCGATGAGGGAGGGGTTACATGTGCAGGTCGATGAGGGAGGGGTACTTGTTGCAGGTCGATGAGGGAGGTGTACATGTGCAGGGTCGATGAGGGAGGGGTGGTACATGTTGCAGGTCGATGAGGGAGGTGGTACCTGTTGCAGGTCGATGAGGGAGGGGTACATGTTGCAGGTCGAGATGAGGGAGGTGTACATGTTGCAGGTCGATGGGGAGGGTACATGTTGCAGGTCGATGAGGGAGGGGTGGTACTTGTTGCAGGTCGATGAGGGAGGGTGTACATGTTGCAGGTCGATGAGGGCAGGGGGTACAGTTGCAGGTCGATGAGGGAGTGTCATGATGCAGGTCGATGAGGGAGGTGTACATGTTGCAGGTCGATGAGGGAGGGTGTACATGTTGCAGGTCGATGAGGAGGTGTACATGCTGCAGGTCGATGGGGAGGGTAGACATGTTGCAGGTCGATGAGGGAGGGTACATGTTGCAGGTCGATGAGGGAGGTGTGTACATGCTGCAGGTCGATGAGGGAGGGGTACATGTTGCAGGTCGATGAGGGAGGGGTACATGTTGCAGGTCGATGAGGGAGAGGTTGTACATGCTGCAGGTCGATGAGGCCCGAGGTGTACATGTTGCAGGTCGATGCGGGAGGGTACATGTTGCAGGTCGATTGAGGGAGGGGGTTACCATGTTGCAGGTCGATGAGGGGAGGGGTACATGTTTGCAGAGTCGATGAGGGAGGTGTACATGTTGCAGGTCGATGAGGGAGGGGTACATGTTGCAGGTCGATGAGGGAGGGGTAATGTGCAGTCGATGAGGGAGGGGTACATGTTGCAGGTCGATGAAGGAGGTGTACATGTGCAGGTCGATGAGGGAGAGGTACATGTGCAGGTCTATGATGAAGGAGGTGTACATGTTGCAGGTCGTATGAGGGAGGGGTACATGCTGCAGGTCGATGAGGGAGAGGTACATGTTGCAGGCGATGAGGGAGGGGTACACTGTTGCAGGTCGATGAGGGAGGGGTACATGTTTGCAGGTCGATGAGGGAGGGGTACATGTGCAGGTCGATGAGGAGGGTGTACATGTTGCAGGTCGATGAGGGAGGGGTACATGTTGCAGGTCGATGAGGGAGGGGTACATGTTGTCAGATTGAGGAAAAAATTCACCAGGAGAGTTTTCTTGACTAATAGAATGAATTCTGGGGTTGGAGCTTAGACTTTCCGACTTTCAATTTTAAGGACCACCCTATTGACCAATCACAAACATGGACAAGCGTACTGACAGCGTAGCGTCATACTTCCTGAATGAAAAGTCAACTTTAATATTAGTCAAATATGAAGAAGTTAAACTTTAAACATCCATGACTTCTGACTTCACCTGCAAGGTGAATACAGCTGGTAAAAGAAAAAGTGTTTGAATGCATACATTAACAGGTTTATGATATCACTGCCCCGTCTAAGACACGATCTAAGAGTGGATCTGACTTTAATTACATTTGACTCGAATGTTTCGTCAACTTAATGTGTTGCTTAAAATAATACTTCTGCATAAAGTATGTGACATTGAGTGTTGCACGTCCATATACGGCTCAGCTGACTCAGATAAGGAGATCATACATTATGAAGTGATATGCCGCGGACTGTACTTAATGTTACTCTGATCCGGTTACTTATGTTGTGGCAGATATTTAAGTAAGCTTTCTTAACGCTAATGTTATAATAGTCAGATTGCTCTGAAGATGGAGGTGATATTCTATTAATGTTCACGTTCACACAGTCGGTGATTTTTGCCGGCCGTCTTTCCTGCAACGGCAGTTTTTCTGTATTTCCTTTCTCCTGTAATATGACACACTGAGCTCTGATTGGTCAGCAGGCGGTGCTTTCACTGACTTGATCTCTTAGCCTGCAACCTAACTTGCTCCGGAGCAGGTTAGCCGTTCAGCATAAGTTACCATGGAGATCTAGCCTGCTAAAAAGAGAATCAGCGTCGTAGAACTGGAAACCCTGAGTTTTCCCTGAAGTTAAAATCCGCCAAAATCCGGCTTCGTAGTACAGGCCTCTGGTTGCCTTCAGGTCTCTGCATGTAGATATGATGTAAATAAACAAGTGTGTGTTCCTGTATATGCTTTCATTATAACTCTACCAAATAGCCAAGAGCGCCTTTGCTTTAGTCAAGGAGGCGGAGCAGCTCTCACAGAGAAATGTACATGAAGGTCTGCTGAGTTCTGGCTGTCAGCTGCATGCTGTGCAAAGCCCTCCATGGGTCTAAAGTACATCTGAAATGAAGCCCTCTGTCTGTCCTGCAGGAGCGAGAGGGCCTGGCTCGCCGTCAGATGCTGGAGGAGGAGAGGAGGAGGAGGGAGGACGCGGAGAAGAGGCTGCAGGACGAGACCTTCCACCGGCAGCAGCTGGTGGAGCGGGAGGTCAAGATGAGGGCCAAGAACTTCGCTCAGGTCAGTGAGGGAGAGCGGGTCGAGTCTGAGGGGACACAGAGCCCTGAACTCAAGTTTCAGGTTGTAATGGTTAATGGTATTCAATATTATTCAAGTTTTGGATCAGAATAAAATGTTTGCGACGTCACAAAACACCAAATCTCTCTGAAAAAAAGATGCAAACAATTAAAGATACTCATATGTGTGACGTTGGATCACAATTTCTAATCTTTAATTACTTTATATAATAATAATATTAATAATATGTATTTAAATAGCATTTGCAAGAGTTTTAGCTCAAAAACTAATAAAAAAAAAGAATAAATAGACCATTAAAAGACATTTAGTTATATAATGAAATGTCTTTTAATCAAATACATGTGAAAGTAAAGGAAACTAAAAACATTAGCAATAATTAACCAATAAAAACATTTAGAGAATTAGTTTTAAAAACACAACAAAAGCAAATTAAATTAAATGTTTGAAAACACTTCTTTTTTTAAAATCAGAATTCTGATTATAATCTCAGAACAAAAATAAAATCACTTTTCAAATGTGGCCCTCTTGCTCTTCTGTGGTTAAAGCTCTTTTGTTTGTTTAAACCCAGCAATAAGAGATCTAAGAAGTAGCACATTATTATATAAAGTCGGAGAGTGTGGGAAGCAGACTAGTCCTTTCACTACTGTGAGTCAATGGAGCACAGCTCAAACTGAAAACAGACTCCTTACTTTGGGGTTCAGAGCCCAGCAGCACAGTTCTGAATACATTCTGTAACCGTGAGCACTGTGGTGTATTCGCTCCCCTCAGGCCCGTCCCATGACCCGCTACCTGCCCATCAGGAAGGAGGAGTTCGACCTGCGCTCCCACGTGGAGGCGTCGGGCCACAGCGTGGAGACCTGCTACCACCTCATCCTCACCGAGAAGATGTGCAAGGGCTACCTGGTGAAGATGGGGGGGAAGATCAAGTCCTGGAAGAAGCGCTGGTTCGTCTTCGACCGCCTCAAGAGGACCTTCTCCTACTATGTCGGTAAGGAGTGAGGAGGAACATACTGAGGATACTCGGTGCTGCGGGGTCGTTACCGGGACGATTTACTGTTCAAATCCAGGTCCAATGGCGGCAGGGGGGAGAGGTGGGAGTGAGCCGTGAGAGTTCAGCATCCTGATATATATCTGCTAGTAAAGATTTTTTAAATTGTTGAATAATGATGAAGTAGCTTGTTCCAAAGGAAGAAAAGTTGTTCTCTTCATTTCAATGAATATTGATTAACATTGACTCTGAGCCCCTTGTGGAATATAATTGAATATCTAAGGAAGTCAGAACATGTTCGAGTATCTGCAGTAAACTTCCCATTTAGCATGTGAGGTGTGCGAGTGGCAGCAGCAGACTGTAATGTGCTGCTCCAGCTCGGGGACTCTTGTTCCACTCGGCCCTTTGAAGTCCTCACAAGGTTCTGCTTCAAGCTGTTTAAGCGTACCTTGTTGAAAGCGAGCCGGGGTGAGGAGGTGTGCTGAGATTACTCCGCCGCTAGTTAAAATGCTCGCAGCGCGGCGCTCTCTGAGGAGGCTGATTGAGATGCACCGCTCACCCTTGTCTGTTGACCTTGAACAACGAGAGGTGACGAGTCACGAGCTAATCCACGCTAAGCACACTGGTAGTTTAGATGCAAGCCAAATGAGATGCTAATGCAGGGCTGTTTGAATGCTAAAGAGGTCATTAACAGATAATAGCTGCGTATTAAAAGGAAATTGTTATTCCTGGAAATGAGGCGCCGTGTTTTCTACCTACTACACTTTAAGTTGGCTTGTGGAGTGTTTGTGCCTGGAGGTAGAGACGGCTGTTGAGTTCCCCACCGGTTGCTCACTGCAGTTCTGCAGTGGCTGATGAAACAAACTGCAATAATGTACCAGAGAAGCGTAAGAATGCAGGCAAGTCTGAAAATACAATGAGAGCTCCATCGGTTTGAAAACACGGGGAAAAAGTGCTGCGCTTGTCATTTCCCATCCATCACCGGCAACCATAAATTGGTCATGATCAAAGTTTGATTCCTCCCTTCTTTTAACGGTGTTATTCTAGGTGACACCCAAGAGACGTCTGTCTTTGCCGATGTGTTTAAGTCTTGGACCAAACCCATGTTATTTTCCCGCCCACAGACAAACATGAGACCAAGCTGAAGGGAGTGATCTACTTCCAGGCGATAGAAGAGGTGTACTACGACCACCTCCGCAGCGCCACTAAGGTTTGTAGTGGATGGACTCTGACAGCTTTCCTCTCATTTATTTTCACACTTTATTTGCTTTCCTCATGCACTCTCTTTCATTTAAAACTCTGCACATTCTGCTGTTTGCTTCTCTTCTCCTCGGTTTGTGCTTTTGCTTTGGCCGGCTGCTGTCACAGAAGGGATTTTTCAACTTGAATATGACCAGTGTATGTATGAGCCTTTCTGTTCTCTCCCTTTTACCCCTAACTGAACCCTGGGTGTCCAAACCAAACACTGTGTATTGTGATAGAGTGAAACAGCCTGATGATGCATGGTTCAGATCTGTGTTTTGTTGCCTCGGACACGAGCCTTAGTCTTGTGTGAAAATGTAGTGTTCAGTCCTGTTTGATCCCTTTGTCCATCTCAGTGCTCCCAGTGTAAACTAGTCAAGTGGTTTTATAAAGTCCCTGCTGATAGACGACGTATGGAAGCCTTTACGGGCCAATGAGAACAAGTTAACATTTGTTTTAGATTCATGATCTTTTGGAACAGGTGAAAATAAAAACACAGGCAGGTAAGTTTTTTTTTTTTTTAGGATATTTCTTTGCGTTGCAGTTGTAATTTTACCACAAGAGGGCACTACCCTATATTCTGAATAGGACTAAAATAATCAGATTAGTGCTGATTGAAATACATTTTAAGGCCAACAATAACAAAGTCGCATGCTAACACCATAGACTACCCTGTGTTTAAAGTGCAAAAAGAAAAAACCCACATAGAACAAAACACAAATGATTTCAGCCTTTTTCAACAACTTAAATGATCGTTTCTGTTTCCTGTCTCAGAATTGAAAGTGTGTAGATTCATAGGCTCTATTGTCATATGCACAATAGCTGCTGGTAGTTTTGAAACTCTTAAATCCCAGGCTCCTCCAACAGCACAACATATGCAATTATAAGATTTAGGGATATAAAATAAGGAAACGGTCCGTTAAATCAAATGTGTACAGTCCACTGCAATATGGGGAGGTAAGAATGAGGTGATTGTATAGATAGATATGTGTCTAAGGGATAATGTGCAGCAAGGCGTTCATTATGGAAAAAAGAATAGGGACAGGGTGATCACAAAGCCCGATGAGCCTGCTTAATACACAGCCACATATAGTGGTGTGTTATCAGGTATTAACAACCTCTGAAATATCCGAATTGACCAATTAGAAATGTGTAATCATTTTGTTTGTGTATATATATATAAGCATACAATTGAAAATGTTTCAACATTAAGCAATTAGCATGTAGAATATATGGAAATAATCAAAAACAATTTCTTTTTTAATTTGCCTCCCAAGGCTTCCGTACAAAGGAGATGCAGTTAATACATAACATTTCTATCTTGAGGTAGACTTTGCTTGAAAGTCTGGGTAATGAGAACACCAAAAAAGATAAAAAAACAAGCATTTTTATTTTATTTAGGGTTTGACAGAACCATTAGTGCTTTCTCTTCTTGTGTGTGTGTGTGTGTGTGTGTGTGTGTGTGTGTGTGTGTGTGTGTGTGTGTGTGTGTGTGTGTGTGTGTGTGTGTGTGTGTGTGTGTGTGTGTGGTGTGTGTGTGTGTGTGTGTGTGTGTGTGTGTGTGTGTGTGTGTGTGTGTGTGTGTGTGTTGTGTGTGTGTGTGTGTGTGTGTGTGTGTGTGTGTGTGTGTGTGTGTGTGTGTGTGTGTGTGTGTGTGTGTGTGTGTGTGTGTGTGTGTGTGTGTGTGTGTGTGTGTGTGTGTGTGTGTGATCAACTTTGATTATACTTGTCATTACAGAGGAGAAACTATAAAGTCTGAGGCACTTAGACACAAAGATTAAATTAATTAAAATAAAGAAATATTGAATTGCTCTTTTTGCTGCACTTTTAGTGTACAGTGTTGCTGTTGTGTTTATTGTGTTTTGTTACTCTCGCATAACAATTTCCTTCGGGATAAATAAAGTCTTATCTTAAAGATGACGCAGAGTGGAACATGTGTGTAAGGAATAAATCAATTGTACGGGTGGTTCGCCTCCAAAAACACCAGTTTAATGCAGAAGACACCCTTAAAAGTTTACTTGTCATATGGATTGTTGATATTCATATATCTTGCACTGCTTGACAAAAACTCATTGACAGCATAAGTATTCTTGTATTCTTGCTCGTATTTTGGGCTGAATTGAATACAGATGTGTCTGTCATACTTTACATTTCAGTCCCAGAGCCAAGTGTTGGTTTTTCATAATTGATTTAGTGTTAATGTTTTTTAGGTTGAAATGTATCATGTAAGAGACCCTTACATGGGTGACCAGGATCCCGATGCTGCACATTATCCCACCTTTAACATGACATAATAAACCAATGAATTGACTCACAATATTGTTTAAAAATTAACGTATTGCTTCAGCAAAGTTAAAATACTCCACTGCATACCAACGGCTGGAACTGTGACATAGCAACGAAACTTAAAATGGCGGCAGCACTGATCAAAGTTTTCTGTCCAAGCGGTTCACATTTTCTAGGCAATGAACCAGTCTCTAAACACGGCCAGAGCCCATAGTGTTCCTGTTAGAGCTCACTTCCTGTCTGTCTTCCGTTGATTTTCACTGTCCTCTAGTCATTTAACCTCTTCACATATATTGGACCATCTTCCTTGTTTTTTTCTTTACTGGAGACAGTGTAGCCATCATGAATCCAAATGAAGAAGAAGATTCAGTTTCCACTCTGTCGTACACACACATGCGTTTACAGGTCATACAGTACACACTTTTTACAACATGCATATACAAATACACACAGTTATATGCACACATGCAGTTGAGAGGTCAGAGCAGAGGCAGCCAGTCTAGCCGGCGCCAGTGAGCAGTTGGGGGTTAGGTGCCTTGCTCAAGGGCACTTCGGCAGTGGCCCAGGAGGTGAACTGGCTCCTCTCCAGTACCAGTCCACACTCCGTATTGTTTGGTCCGATCGGGACGTGAACCGGCGACCCTTCGGTCCAAAGTCCAATCCCCGACAGACTGAACCACTCCCGTTATGTTTGTGGGCGCCACAAATATAAAAATATTTATTAGAAAAGTATTAAATGGTGTTCTTTTGTTAGGGGTATCCAAACACATTTTTGACAATAGCTCATGTTAAATTCATCAGACTTTTTTTTTCAAACTTCCAAATCAACCAATCAGAATCCAATACTTTAGATTCCTGAATAACAAAAAATGGTACTCTGAACCACTTTGAAGGTCTAATTTGTATTTTCGCTCTCCTTCTTCCAGAGTCCGAACCCCTCCCTGACGTTCTGCGTGAAGACCCACGACCGGCTGTACTACATGGTGGCCCCCGCAGCGGAGGCCATGAGGATCTGGATGGACGTGATCGTCACAGGAGCCGAGGGATACACACAGTTCATGAACTGAGACACACAGTGCGGAACGTTTCGGCAGGGACTCTCCCCCCCCCACACAGACTCTACAGACACTTCCTGTTGCCGCTCTGGCGGACACAACGCCTTGTTTGTTACTTTTTATTTTCACACTTTTATTTTACTATGTAGACGTTTTCACCTCCACATTTTCTACGTGATTCAGCTCGGATTGAAAAAGGGAGCCCTTGGAGGGGACACACACATCTGTATATAAACCAAAATCTGTCAAAGACTTTTAAAAAGCCTTTCTATATTGCCAAATGGAGACCTTTTAGTTACTATTTGTCGAACGTTTTGTATTTTGTTTTCATTTCTTTGTTTTTTTTAGAGAATATTGCCAAATGACGTCATGCCAATGTTTGAGTGTTCCATCATGAGTACGTTTAGTTAAGACAGAAAGAGTTTAAAATAATCCGCATTGAAAAGGGTTAATCAATTATTGGAAATATATTTGAAAGAATCTTATTGTGAATGAAATGTGAGAAAATGTCAGTCAACAGGACCTGGAAATGATTTTAGTCCACTCTATGTGAAACATTATATATGCTCACCACACACATCCCATTTCTTCACACCATCATCATCATCACTGCCAGCCTAAAGCCACACAGTGCAGTGCTACAGGACACCACAGGATCAACAATACGTACTAATCCTGAACTGTGCCTTGACTTTGTGTTGTTGACATCTACAATCGCATTAATGCTGTAAAGGCCGTATGTGGAGAGTTAGCAGTTAACATGCCTCTAGCATCCTTACAGGCAGATATACCAGAGGCCCTGAGCACAGTGGGAATCAGCTAATCCCCCGGGACGAGAGCCGGACGTTAAAGCAGATGTTCCAAGTGGCCGAATGGTGGTACTACAGTTTCTGCCTGTGACGTCAATGGGCCAAAAAATACATTTTCACATTGACTTGCATTGGGAACAAAATAAAGGTAAATCAACTACCCAGTTTGAACACCTGAATAGCCCCTATTTAAAGCATGAGGGTCTACAAGTCTTAGAATGCGCTAAAAGACGAATTCAGCTTTATTTCTCTATCCATTCGACTAAGACAAGACTGGCATATTGGAGGCGGGGCTTAACGCAAACTCAAGCGCTCTATTAGTCCAAAACCCCAGATAAAGTGATCCCGCCTCCAAAGCTTTATCCAGTTCTCTTTATACATCCATAGCAGCTAGTTCACTGGCATTATTGAAACTGATGGGGGAATTCACAGATAATTGATTGCGGCTGCTGTTACCACTATGGGTTGTGCATCGTTTGCAACTGTTAATGAACCGTAAGATCACATAAACAAAAAACGCTGTTATTTTACAAATAACAATATTTGCCAAAAGTAAGTAAACTTGTGATATAATGCAAACCCCCTGGAAATGTGGTTATCAATTCATTTGACTATTTTTAAATATATAATTAGCCTTTTTTGATGGTAGTCGTTTGAACTAACAAACTCTGTTCAGTCACCTTTTATTTAACTTCACTGATTTGGAAGTGATAAAGACCCCTGCTTTGAATCCTCACTGAGTGGAGGCTTGCATGCACGAGAGCGGATTAAAAAAATATCTTCAGCTTTAAAAGACTGTCGTCAAGTGTCGATCATCGCGTTGTGAGTCTGTAGACGGTTTGTAGTAAACAGATTCCGGATGCCGTTTGTTTTGTAGAAGCAGACGACAAACTGTGATTTTCAGAGCATGTGGAACTCGCGTTTAGTTTCATGTAATGGTAATTTATGGTTGTGGTGCCTGAGATAGTTACACGTTTACTATTAAAAAAGAAGACTAGTGAAAAGACCTTAATATATTCTGTCCCCTTGCCTTTACTTCCCCTTCTACGGAAGCCCAGAGATATAAGTGAGAAAGAAATCTGATGATCCATTTTTTTCTTCTTATGATTTAAATAATATCTAAAATGAAGTTGGGGAGGGGGGAAAAAAATGGCAGATTAAAAAAAAACGTTTATTTGGCCTCTCTGGGCTTCCGTACACTGCACAGTTACCGCGTGCAAACCAAACTATTCAACACTGGCAAGGCTGTTAAATCATGTCTGTTGATAGTAGCTGGTACATTACTGTTGTAATCTGTCGAGAAGAAAGGAAACTAAATATACTGTAAAGAGGATGCCTGAATGAAAAAAATAATATTACTATTGAAATGAAACGGTATTGTATGAAAAAGACAATTTTTACTTATTTTTGTCATTTTAGAAATTTTATTGTCGGTCAGTTACATTGAAAATTGTATGGTAGTGATGTATAAATCTACCTTTTGTATTTACTGGTACAGCAGAACACACACAGTATAACACACCTATCACTCATGAGACTGTACTTTTCTAGAAAATAGTTTCTGTTTCTCTCACACACACACACACAATCTACTCGGACCATACTGTGTTATTGGTACCCTGTATGTCTCATGCGTTATTTTCACGTATGAATAATATGGATTTTGTTAAATCTATTAAAAACAGAACTGTTACACAATCTCCGTCTGCTGTTCTTCACCTCAGCGGGTTTTAATGTGTAGGTTCCAGTGTCCAGGAGAGACTAATTATTGCTTCATTAACAACAGTTACAGGACAATGGATCAGCAAGTAGAAACAAAAAATAAAATGTTTAAAAATTGTGGAATTCACTCAAAACAGTTAAAATGAGTAAAAACAAATGAAGACACAGTCTAAGAAAAAAATGAACATCTAGAAGTTTCTTTCTCCGACGCATTGATTCTGCCAAGTGAGTTACAGCTCGTTGATGACGTCACCTGGAAGAGAACACTTTGTGTTATTTACCTGTGGACTACACACATTTACTGTTTCAATACGACACTTACAGAAACCCTATTTTTGAATTCCACTTGGCACAACAGTAAGAATGAAGTCATCACAGATCTTAATGTTACTTACTCTCTGCACAGGGGGAGCAGTACTCCGTGACCGCCTCATCACCTGCAAACATCAGAAACAGGGTTGAGTATGGAGTCAGATTTGGGTCAATATTCTAGCGCATAAAACAAGCTACTCACGAGCGGAAAATGTGCTTTTACACGCACATGAAATGACCCTTGCGCGCAGATTAAACCCCGCGCTCGCTCGCGAGAGAGACAGCCCTCTTGCTCGCTCGCGGAGTCTGTCTACGTGCGCGTGAAAAGTTTCTGACACTTTGGGGCGGAGCCACTGGACTTTGATTGACAGCTGCCAGGAAGCCCGGAGTTGCCAGGTTTGATAAATGCCTGAATTACCAAGAGCCGAGGAGTGACAGCTGCAAGATCAGTTGGACGAGATTGAATGGTAAAGTTGTCCATACAAAAACTTATATTCGTAAAGTGTACAGCTAATATATATATAAAACAATATATTTTTGAGTGGAAAACTGCTAGCTACTGTCTGCTATATGCACCTCCCTTACGAAATGAACTATAAATGAATTATAGTATTACTATAGTATACTATAAGAGTTGTATCTTTAGTAAGTTTGTAGTGTTCTGTAGTATTTTTCACCAGCTATTGTATTACAATAGTTTTTTCTGTAGTGCCATTTTATTATCTATAGTAGCCCTATAATATTTCAATAGTAACACTATGTATCTAGATCTTTGTAGTATTCCTATATTATTTTAAATAGTATAACTATAGTATAATATATAGTGTTTCTGTAGTTGTTTTTTAAACACACTATAGAACACTCCTAATAGCATGATATTGTCATAGTGAATGCATATTATTACTATAGTTTTTGTAAAAGTATTACTATAGTGTTTTTGTTGGTGCTTCCGTATTAAGACTATTATTTTAAATAGTACTACTATAGTAATATATAGTGTTTCTGTAGTTGTTATTTGAACACACTATAGAACACTCATAGTAATAGTATGATGTTGTCATAATGAATTCATATTATTATTATAGTGTTTGTAAAAGTATTGCACTCCTAGAATTAATGTGTCATTTTTTTTATATCAAATTTATATATATATATATATATATATATATATATACGCGCGAAAAGTTTCTGGCACTTTGGGGCGGAGCCACTGGACTTTGATTGACAGCTTCCAGGAAGCCCGGAGTTGCCAGGTTTGATAAATGCATGAACTACCAAGAGCCGAGGTCCATAAAAAACTATTATATTCGTAAAGTGTACAGCTAATATATATATATATATATATATATATATATATATATATATATATATATATATATATATATATATATATATATATATATATATATATATATATATATATATATATATATATATATATATATATATATATATATTAGCTGTACACTTTACGAATATAATAGTTTTTTATGGACCTCGGCTCTTGGTAGTTCATGCATTTATCAAACCTGGCAACTCCGGGCTTCCTGGAAGCTGTCAATCAAAGTCCAGTGGCTCCGCCCCAAAGTGCCAGAAACTTTTCGCGCGCGTACAGACTCCGCGAGCGAGTGAAGCTGACACTCCCGCGAGCGAGCAAGAGGGCTCTCTCTCCTCGCGGGGGTTTATTCTGCGCGCGAGGGTCATTTTAGGCATGTGTAAAAGCACATTTTCCGCTCGTGAGTAGCTTGTTTTACGCGCTAGAATATTGACCCAAATCTGACTCCATAGTTGAGTAATACGAGGGAGGAAACTGTGTCGTTGTATGGAAGCCATGAGAAGTTTGTAATAAAATGTTGAATTTGTTTTTATGACTTAGGAAAATCTTTGCTAGAAAAATGTTTTAAGTTCCTATTTCTTATTTTATCTGTGACAAATTAAAAGTTGGCCAGGATAAACTATTTTTAGGATGCGTTTGTAGTTGTTATTCTTATTTTGGGCTCAAGAGGCGGGAAGTGAACCATATGAATCTGACATGTTTTATTTCAGGTACATGCTCCCTGTTTTTAGAGTGCTTGGAAGTGCTTTTGGTTAAAAAAAATCTGTTTATGGATCGAAAAAGATGAAAAATCGTGCTGGCAAAACTCGTTTTCACAAATGACAACTTTTAATATTATTTATCTGAGAAAGATTTTCTTAGCATACCTTTTCTATAAAGTGTTCTTGACTCATAGACAGGCGAGAAAACAATATAAATCCAAATTATTATTATTTATTATTATTTTTTCCCTTTGTGATCCATTTTATAAATCTTGCCTCTCAGGGCTTCCGTACATTTAGTTAACTTAAAGGTGGGGTAGGTAAGTTTGAGAAACCGGCTCGAGATACACTTTTTGTTATATTCCATGGAATGCTCTCAACATCCCGATAGCAATGAATATCTTAAGTGATTTGACAAAATCCATAAAAAAACGTCATCTGTGGAAGCCGTAATACTGTAAAAAGCACGACCAATCATTTGAGCCGGCCCGGCTAAAATAACTGGATGGCCTACCTGCCTGTCAGCCTTCCATCACAAACTTATCTCGTGCCCTCATTGGTCATGTGCGCGTTCGTGTGTTGGAGGAGGGGCCATGTATTTTCAAATTAATGCTGGTTTCTCCAAAATTACCTACCCCACCTTTAAAGAAACTGAGCATCACAGACATTACAAACTAAGTAACCATGAAGCTCTTACTTGTCTGGTAGTAATCGTAGACTTTGACCACAGCTGGTTTCAGATTCCTGACAGGAACATCCTCCTCCAGTGTCACACTGTATATCAGCATCTCATCCTTTTTCAACTGCAACCACAAAAGAACAAACTCATACTTTAATATTTATTTTTATCACAAGCTCTGCACACAGGGCGTAATGGTTTAAATAAATGATACAAAATAAAGGATGAATTCATGAGTCTCTGAGGCACACATTCAATGCTTCCTACCCCGTCTAAGTAGATGTTGATGTATCCTTCGTCGAGATCCACACGCTTCACTGAGCGGTCGCTCTTCAGCTAAGGCACAGAACACACAGCCATCAGTATACACCAATATAAAAATATATTATGTAGTATGAATTTGCTACAGTCTGATAGTACTAGCACAGACTACATGTGTATTAAAGTATCTGCATTATGTGCCATTCAGTGGAAGAACTGACCAGCTCCAGGGAGCTCTTATCCAGAATGTATCCAGACAGCAGCTTGATGTTGATGATCACCATGTTGGTTTCCTCTCTCCTGCCCTGGTACCTGCACACACGAGTATGAGGTACATTTCTGGATTTTCTTTTTGATATTCTGTCTCTCATTAGTAAAATAAACCTACCATTAAAATTATAGACCGTTCATTTATTTGTAAGTGGGTGAATTCACAAAATCGGCAAGGGATCAAATGATTATTTCCTTCACTGTATTACTGAAACTCAAATGTTTCTCCACACACACACACACACACCACACACACACACACCACACACACACCACACACACCACACACACACACACACACACACACACACACCACACACACACACACACACACACACACACACACACACACACACACACCACACACACACACACACCCACACACACACACACACACACACACACACACACACACACACACACAACACACACACACACACACACACACACACACACACACACACACACACACACACACACACACACACACACACACACACACACACACACACACACACACACACACACACAGTACCTGACATGCACAAAGAGGATGAGCTGCGGCCTGCTGATGTTGCACTTGGTCATGGTGTTGGTGGTGATGTTGAAGGCAGAGAAGTCGGGGGGAGGGGGGATGTTGTAGTGCATGGATATCTGAGAGACAGGTCATCACAGTCAATACACAGTACAAAGGAACAATACGCTTTGATCAAATATTTCAGTAACTTAAAAAAAAAACATCTTTGGATTAAAATATCATTTACTTCTTAGTTTACTTCTGTATTGCAGTCAATTTTAGCCCTTTGTGTTGCTCTTCTTTTCTCGTCCTTCGAGGCCCCCGTACCAAGACCCCAGTACCCAAGTGCACCGGACGCTCCTGCAAATATTCGTGTGGCCAAACTATGGTTCTACAACTTCTGCATCATTGGGCCCAACATTACTTTTCCCCATTGACTTACATTGGGAAAGAGACGTCTGCAAATCAGCGGATAATTTAAAAAAAGTAAAATAAACGAACCAGTATGAACACTTGTATAGCCCCAATTTGAATCATTATGGTTTTAAAATGTGTAAAATGCGCTAAAACCTGAATCCAGTTTGATTTTCTCTCTCCATTCTACTGAGCAGATAGCGGGAGATCGGGGGCGGGGCTTAAGGAGAACTCAAGTGCGCATGCTCTATGAGCGTTAGGGCTGTGCATCTTCACTGCTCTCACGATTTGATTACGATTATCCTGTCACCGATTCGATTCGACATCCCGATGGATCACGATTCATACCAATGCGTTGCATCCTCAATTTTCTACAGTATATTACTGCACATGGCTTCTTTTTTATCAATGAATACATGCAGTAAATACATATGAACTCCCTTTTTATTATTTAGGAAGTGCTTCAGAAATCAATAATATAAATGTCTTGACATTAATTTATAAACCAAAATAAATCAATTGCATAGCTCTAGCATCCCTATACAGTATCTGTGTGTGAAATTGTTCCATCGTCAAAAACAAAAAAATAATGTTTCTGCAGTCTAGCTGCAGCTTCTAGCAACGGCCTTCTGTTAAAGAAGGACACTGAATGTCCTGAATGTGGCATCACACACAGGACTTGAGTCTGAACACAGCAGACAACAGGAGTATTTACAACAGCATATAACAACTAAAATACTGCATGCGGGTACACACTTACATTCTCTGTCTTACTGTTACATACATCCCATGAATGTAGGAGATTAAGTTAGCTTCATTATATCTCAGTGATTAAGTGAATAATAAAGTTTCTATCAGGTTACTATGAGCCTGTCACTCATTATTTCAGGGAGGGGGCGGGGTTTGGAGCAGCAGAGAGGAGACGGTGATCGCGGAAGCTTTTTCCTCCTGCCTTCACAAACTTTACACACGTATCGTCTGAAAATAGCAAGAGAACATTCGTACTCTACAATCCAAGACTTAACTAAATCCACCAAAAACCTGACATGATTGTAACGCGATTATTTCTTTAAAACATAAATCCCTGTGTCTCTGAGCCGCAGCGACACGGACTGATTCAGAGCGGGTCCTTCTGCTGTTGGTTCTGGACTGGTGTTCTTGTGTTTGGTGTTGCTGTGCCGCTGTGCCGCTGTCACGTCTGTTCCCTGATCTCTGCGTCACCGACCGATTTAATATTAAAGTGACAGAAAAAAAAACGTTATTGTAAAGCCGCGGCCATAAAATCAGGAAGCAACGTTACTACGCTATAATCGATTATGTTCCGTCACTGCATCGATGCAGAATCGTCCACGTCTGCATCGCGATGCATCGTAGAAACGATTAATTTCAACACCCCTAATGAGCGTACATACGGGCACTTTGCTCTCGACAGGCAGGCATGATGGGTCATTTGTGACATTTTGCTCTCGAGAGCATCAGACCATTTGGGCTCCATGCGTCACTCTCATAGGACTGAAGGAGGCCCCTCCTCCTCCTCCGACACAGTATCCAGTTCTCTTTATACACCCATGCCCCATACCTGTGCCATGACGCAGCTCTGGCCCTGGGCCCTGACGGTGTATTCTCCGGGGACCTCGCTCAGCTTCTGCTCCTGGTAGAGCAGCCTGTTGCTCTGATCCACTCTGAACTCTGTGTTCAGGCCTCCCAGAGACGTCACCGTCACCGCCGTGCTGCCCTCCGCGCTGTAGGTGGCCGCGCCGTACTTAGCCAGGGCCTGGAGGGCCACCACCGTGTCCTGAGGGCCAGAGGGGTTACATGAGGAACGGAAATGTTGGTATGAAGGTGTTTTAAATGTAACCTTAAAATATGTTTTTATCGAGATCTACACTACATCAGGGTTACACGTTTAAAAAAAAAATTATAGGATGAAGTGTTACAAGTAAAAGTCCTGCATTCAAGATCTTACTAAGTATATTTTGATCCCAATATTATTGTATCCAAGGTGTTAAATGGTGACTGATAGTAATCTTTTTGTATACTGCTACTGAATATCTTAACCTATATTAGCTTATAATGTGTGTGTTCAAAGTAACTAGTGACTTAAGCTGTCAGATAAATAGAGAGGAGTAAAAAGTACCACGTCGGCTTCCAAAGAATAGTAGAGTAGAAGCCTAAAGTAGCATTAAATGAGAAAACTCAGGTAAAGTGAAAGTACCTGTCATCAGGTCAACATTTTGAGAAACCCCTTGGGAGTATATGTCTAGGGTTTTATAACGGGTACCTGGTCTGTGGGTGTTTTACGTTACGTACAGTATGTGTTTTATAGTTGAGTGGTGCTCACTCATTAGGAGGGTGCCATCATTGCAAGCATTAAAAGATTTTAGCAGGATTAATATACTAATAAACATTTTTTAATGCAATTGTTGCCTCCATCAACTCTCTCAGCAGCTGATGTTTAAGTTGCTACTGTATGCCGGGTGTCACTAAGAAGAGTTTTCCCATAAGCCACCTGTGTGTGATGCGTGTTACCTGTGTGGAAGAGAAGCCCCCGTACGGGTTCTGCTGCTGGGCCAGCCAGCGCACGATGCTGGAGGAGTAATCCAGGCCGAAGTCTGGCAGGGCCGGACCGGAGAGCAGAGCCAGCAGGACGTAGGAGGTCATCTCCACCTCCAGAGAGTCCAGGCCTTTCCCAGAAGCCCCGGCTCTGTCCCAGTGACGGGAGCCGCCTGTCAATCAGAACAGTTGATTCATCCTTTAGAAGGTAAGCAATGACCGACCCTGTGCACTAGCTCGGTGTGCTAGCTTTTGTAAGAGAACTTTTAATCGTCGTTTGGCAATGTTTTTTAAATGAAGGTGGATAATCCTTAATGGAGGCTGAACTGCATGTTCTAAAAGCATTCATGTTTTCTTCAAGGTGAGTTTTGATTTCTCGTTGCACTTCAAACAGAAGATATATATATTGTTTATTCTACAACATAAGTGTTATGTATTACTTGTGACTACAAATGCATTTTAATCTGCGCTTATCTGTTCAGTCTTATTGTCTCTTGTGGCTAGAATCCGCATTAAAACAACAACAACAATATCCTGACAAAAAAGAAATCTATTATTTCAACAGTTTATTTCTTAAGGATAAATGTTTTGTTTTTTTAACTGCCTTCATTGCTTGAAAAAACAGCTTACAGTGCACAGAGTTCAGGCTTTCCACTTGAACTAAAATGCCACTTACGTTTAATATTTCTTTACGTCAGATTGCAAGCAATTGTTAAAGTAGTTAAAGAGAAATATGAATGTGTCCAAGGCTTACACTACAACATCTACTTCCTGTCAGCAATTCCATTTGAACAGTTGTGCTGATTTCTTTCAATATTTAAATCTGACTGCTATTTGAACTTTGAAGTTTTTTTTAATACTATTTCATGCTACAAACTCAGCTTTAGTAAAACATGTATCAATGAGACAGTGTTTTCAGAGGTCTAGCCTTTCCCAGCGTTATGCTCGTGTTGATGTAGCATTAACTTAGTTTAAGGAGAAAAACGGAGGTTCAGATGTTGCCGATTCCACCGTCTTACCCTGCGTGTTGGACTTTTGGTTCAGGTAAGTGATGAGTTTGCTCCTCGTCTCCTCGTCTCCAGCCAGAGTGAAGGTGTAGGACAGCAGCGCGGTGGTGTACAGGTTTTCTAGCTGGGAGTCCACTGATGCCTTCAGACAGCTCAAGCACCTCTGCACCACGGGGTCCTGTCACACAAGGAGGGAGAGAACTGTATCAACAACAACAATTAACCATATTCATTTTGTATACGAATTTGAAGTCATTTGAACGGAAATATTCAAACACAGCCTATTTCAAGATGAAGAGTCAAAAAGAACACAAGCGCACATCTCTGAAAGATAATAGTGAAATAGTGCATTTTTTGTAAAATTCCACATTAAGTAATAGATAAACATTTATTTTTCCCCCTGTTAATTATTTACAATAAGATAATCCTTTTTAAATGACAAGTTGCCATATCTTTGTTGAATTAAAGAGAAACCCACACTAAGAAATATACAAAGTTAGAAACAAATAAACACCAGTGTATTTTTGGACGTTTTACTCTCAAAATTGTCTGAAAGAGTTATGGGAGTAAATAGCCCAAAGTTGTAATATTTACCAGGGCATGAAAACAATGTTTTTATGTTTAGTGTTTGACTTAATAATTAATCTAAAGGATCCAGGTTGCAGAATATTTACAGTAAATGTATCATTGTTGCAGTACAAGCACTTATCAGACAAACATCATATGATAACATCTAAAATCAGGAATGCAACAGGTGGATATCAACAATGAAACAATGAAAGTTCATCAGAGTTTGAGTTGTGACCGAGACTCACCGAGGTGTTTGTGTCGAGCTCCAGCATGGCAGCTGTGATGTAGGCCGTCAGAGACACATCGTCACTCACTCCTCCCTGTTAGAAACATCACAGGAGGAACAGTCAGAAAACACTATTTTATTCATGTCAGTGTCAATACTGGCAACTTAAAGAACAAAAAAATGCATGCACATGGCACACAAGTTACTATTGCGGTAATGTTTAATATAATATTTATTTTGTAGGATCCTGCAAAAGCTGCACTTAACAGGTGTGGGATTCTTTGCACTCAACACTATTTTATTTAATGATTTCCATCAGAATTTAGGGTGCATCAGAGCACTTGTAAAAGTAAAAGTAAAAGTTATTGGTCTTGCTATATCTTATAGGTCCATTACATAGGCTGGAACATGTCGTTGGCATGAATGAGCTGGGCAAAGCTGGTGCAAACCTAAATGATTCGGGGAGTCCCACAGGGTTCTGTACTTGGACCTATTCTATTCACCTTATATATGCTTGAGAACATTTCCATTAACTTTCACTGTTTTGCAGATGCTACCCGATTATATCTATCAACCTATCAATAATCTAAATGAAAGTAAGTGATAAGCTTTAACTTTAAGCATGCCTTAAGGAACTGAGTGACCTGCAATTTTCAGATGTTATTCGCAGACAAAACTGAGGTGGACTCATCACTCCTTTTAATAGGCTAGTAGAGGCTGCAAATGATAAACAGCTATCTATAGCTAAAGTTATTTCCAGCCATAGGCTAGGCTAATAACAAGCTAATCTGTTGCAGAACACATTTAGTGGCTTAAAGACTGACATCCATTGAAACGTTTTAACCATGTTCTTGGTATTGATGTCTTACCTGCACTTTGTTTGAGGCCGTTATCCTAAAACAATGTGTGAAACATACTCAGCCACAGAGCCCTTTATGTGCAGGTTTATTCATTTGGTGACAACATTGATTCAGTTACTGCTGATTGGAAGCATTTCTGTGTTTTATTACAGATGCACGGCCCTCGGCTATTAAACTCTTGATTCAATTTAAATGAAGAAGCGTGTGCAAACTTTTGTTCGTCTAAAAACGTTTATGCAGTGCTTTTAGTAAACACTGCACATGTTTCGTCAAGTTGGTGAAGATGCTTTTTTATTAACATGTGTTATTTGCATTGTTTTTGAAAGTGAAGCACATTTCTCCTAATGGAAGTGTGTTGGACCTGGTGTAGCACATTTGCACCTGTCGCCCACCGTAGTAAACCCTTTTCTATCCACAACATTACATTTAATAATAATAATAATAATAAATAATATTTTTATAGCGCCTTTCAGGAAACCCAAGGTCGCTTTACAAGTCGGGTAGGGGGGGGGGGGGGGGGAGTAGGGGAAAAAAGGCAGACAGGTTAAGGGGGGGGGGGGGGGGGGGGGGGGGAAGTAGCGGAAAAATAAACCTATTAAACTAACTATACAGTGGCGAAAGCCTTGGTAAAAAGGTGCCATTTGACTGTGCCAGAAGAAAACCGGGGCTGCAGATCTTTATAACACACCTTATCTCATTTGCATCCAAAGTGTACCCCCTTCTTGTGATGAAAGTGAGAAGGGTTACGGTATTTAAAGTGTATGATTAAGTTAGATGTTCAAAATGTATTACAAGGGGAATGTGCCATGTATTCAGATTGTATTAAGAACTTCCTAATTGGGAATCTGTGTGTGTGTATGGTTGGTGTGTGTGTGTGTATGGTTGGTGTGTGTGTGTGTGTGTGTGTGTGTGTGTGTGTGTGTGTGTGACTGAGAATAATCCGTCGCTCAACACAGTCATCAGCTGATTAATCTATTTTAAGAGCTTTTTATCTAATACAACTACTTTCCAAAAAACATAGGTACCGGCAGATGCCACGCATCTTTCATTTATTTTGGTGTTGGTTGGCTTCATGAAATGTTGTAGTTGGATCGGCTAGAAATAATTAGTTTGGGATATTTCCTCTGCCGTTAAGAGTGTGCTGCTTGCTGGCAGGCCTGGGGCTATCCTCCCTCCCTGCACACAGCTCTCAGAGACAACATGCAATTTGCTCCTCACATTGAATTAATTCTCTGGTTTATGTCTTATAGAAAGAAAATCACCCAAGCAGAGCTCTAAACGACTAAAGGCAGATGATGTGAAACCCTATATTCCCAGCTAAAATGTCCAAGTTTCAGACTGATGTCGTCACCTTCATGCCGTTGTGGAAGAGTTTCCCCACAGATCTGATGCAGCCGTCAGGCCGCTGGTGTTTGGAGAGCCAGCTCCGGGCTTCTTGAATGTGCTTGTCTTCCACAAAGATGTACGGTTTCGCCCCGCCAAAGGACTTCATCACGAAAGAGGTCAGCCTGGAAGGATACAAACACAAAGTCTTTATAAACAAATCCAACCAAGTGGGCCTGTGTTCAGTTACCCCCAAATGAACCCAGCCTTGGGACAGTTACATAAGAGCCGTCCGTCTCTGACTCCGAGTTGCAACACAATCCTATTCCTCAGAGCCCACAATAACGATGGGAAGTAGAATATCCACATATTATATTCTGATTAGTGCTGTACATAGATTCAATAATAATCTGTGATTAATCACATTCATTTCAATATTAGTATTTACTTGGAATGTTTACCCCCATTTGAGAATCACTGCTCTAAAACATCCGGAGCATTAATGTGGTAATGTGACATCCCTCATTTTAATATTGTATTTCAGATGTAATGCGTCAAGAAATGTTCACAATATATATATTACATTACTAAGCATTTAGTCTTTCTAAACAGTATTGGTCAATCCTGCTGATCTTTATATTGACCAATTAAAAAGTGCACAAGTTGCACACTTGGGGGCAACAAAGCAAGCTTCACACACAACATTGACCAAATTGTCTGTTAAAGGCGATTATTGCCATGTTGTTACATACTCAAAAAACATTTCCGCAGCTGTATTTCCAAGAGTAATGAAAAAATCAACACATAACCAAATGCGCAAATGTTCAGCTTGGAAATAAATCTATAATAACATTGATTTGAATATAGTAAGCTCTTTTATTCAAGTTTATTAGACCATTCCAGCCAATCTCTGTTTGGAATTCTAATTAAATTAAACACTTGAGAGCCCTACTTCCTGCTCACCACAAACACACACCCACACACACCTCACTGACTGCCAAACTGCCCAGCACCCTTCCAAACAGAAAAGGGTTGTTCAATCCCTGAGGCACTCTGCTTTAAGCCCATTAAAGGCAAATATTAATATTCTCTGGCAGGTTACCCATAAAGTAAATGATTAGGATGTTTGGTTTAAAATGCCAAAAAGGACTGTGTGTATGTATATGTATATGTGTGTGTGTGTGTGTGTGTGTGTGTGTGTGTGTGTGTGTGTGTGTGTGTGTGTGTGTGTGTGTGTGTGTGTGTGTGTGGAGGAGTGTCCACTGCCCGTCACACCCCCCCCCCCCTGTCAACGCCTTTGAGGATACTCCGTTCACCCTTTCACCCTCGCCCACCCTCCTGGGGATCGTTGAACACATGAAGGAGATACAGAGGGTTGGCACCGATTCCTTCCTGGAGTTCAAAGACCAAACTAAGGCGATACGCAGGGCTGGCACCATGTCCTTTACCCCCGCTCCTCAACGACGCCCACCAAAATCACCGCAGAGACGCGCACCATCTCCCCCGTCTTCATCACCGTGCCTACGTCAACCACCTCCCCCCCCTGGCAGCATGTCCTCTACCCCCGCACCATCTCCCACGTCTCCATCACCGTGCCTGCGTCGGCCGCCTTCTCTCCCTTCGAGAGGGCATCTGCAGTCTCCGAAGCCTGATAAGAATGTGTGTGTACTAAACGCTGCAAACTGATATTTGCTGGGTCCAGGCTCAAGGGCGTATGGCACTCAACTCTTTCCAGGACATGCCGGGGCCCTGCCTGCCTATAGCTTTGCCGATATCTGTGTTGATAGGTAATAGATTAAGAGCGGTGAATCATCTTAGAAACAGGAACAGGAAGCGCTCAAACGTTTGTGTGAGTTTATCTAATTTAGCAGTGATTCCATGTCAGCCACAGCTTGTTACAAAAAACATGACTGATAGTGTGTTTAACAAACTTAAACTAGCTTTATTAAATGTCAGGTCTTTGGCAGATTTTATCACTGAGCACAATCTCGATTTTATGTTTTTAACAGAAACTTGGATTGAACAAAATAACAGTGCAGCTGTTCTTATCGAATCAACCCCTCCCAACTTCAGTTTTATGAGTCAGGAAAGAATGCATAAGAAAGGGGGTGGAGTTGCTATTCTGTTAAATGATTCCCTTCAATGCAGGAAGACATCGTATGGAAACTTTGATTATTTTGAATATGTGGCCCTTCAGCTGAAATGCTCCTCTCGAGCTCCGTTCCTAAATATCTATAGACCACCCAAATACTGTGCAAGCTTTTTTGATGACTTTACTGAACTGCTGTGTATAGTGTGTATTGACTTTGACCGTCTAGTCATTGTTGGTGATTTTAACATCCATGTTGACAACCCCCAGGACAGAGGGGCTAAAGAACTGTTTTGTGTTCTTGATAGCTATGGACTGACTCAGCATGTGACGGAGCCCACGCACAATAAGGGGCACACTCTGGACTTAATTATCTCAAAGGGTCTGAATATCTCTAAGGTTGTGGTGACTGATGTTGCACTCTCTGACCATTCCTGTGTTTTCTTTGAGAGCTCTATTTCTGTTCACAAAAATGTTCAAAAAGAGGTAACCACAAAGCGATATTTAACTGAAAATACTAGGGAAATGTTTACTCAGAATTTTTCTTCCACACTTGCCCCTGCTAACAACTCAGTAAATGAGCTAGTAGATCATTTTAATTCAAAAATGTAAAATGTTATAGATGCCATTGCTCCAACTAAGGTAAAGGAAGTGTCTGGCAAGAACATATCTTCATGGAGAAAGGCCATGAGCGTGAAAACAGAAGAAAGAGAATGTCGAAAAGCTGAACACAGGTGGCGATAAACAAATCTCCAGGTGCACTTTGAAATCTATAAAGAGAGACTTGGCCTTTATAATTTGGAATTGAAAAACGCACGACAATCGTTCTTCTCTGACATCATTACCAAAAAAAAAAAAAACGCACGTGCCTTGTTTGCTATCGTCGACAGACTAACTAACCCCCCAGTGTCAGTAGCCTCTGAATTTCTATCCACCAGGGCGTGCAATGATTTTGCCTCCTTCTTCACTGACAAAATTCAGAAAATCAGACAAGCAGTCAGTGCCTCTGCATCAGGAACAGCAAATGTGTTGTTCCTATCTCCACTTAACATCAATTCAGACATCATGACACAATTCCATCAGATTAATGATAAAAACCTAGAGGACATTATACAACTTCTGAAATCCTCCTCCTGCTGCCTTGATATTATTCCAACAGGATGTTTTAAAGATGTTTAGCCTGGCATGGCCTCAGATCTACTTCATATAGTAAACAAATCTCTTCACTCAGGTATTTTTACACAGGCCCTGAAAACTGCAGTCATTAAACCGCTCTTAAAAAAGAATAATCTAGATGCTTCAGTAATGAACAATTACAGGCCCATATCAAACCTCCCATTTCTAGGTAAAATCATTGAAAAAGTTGTTTTTCAACAGTTGAGTAATTTCTTGCATTTAAATAACTGTTTCGATGTGTTCCAGTCAGGCTTTCGTCCAAACCACAGCACTGAGACTGCTCTTGTAAAGGTCTTTAATGACATCCACTTAAACACAGACAGTGGCAGAACTTCAGTGTTAGTATTATTAGATCTCAGTGCTGCGTTTGACACGGTTGACAACAACATATTACTAGACCGACTGGAAAACTGGGTGGGACTTTCGGAAACAGTTCTAAATTGGTTTGAATCCTACTTAAAAGGACAGAAACAACTTTGTTTCTATAGGTAAATACACATCTGAGTTGACAAATATGACATGTGGGGTACCTCAAGGCTCCATCTTGGGGCCTCTTCTCTTTAACATCTACATGCTACCACTGGCTCAGATAATGAAAAACAACAAAATAAGTTACCATAGCTATGCAGATGACACACACATTTACGTAACAATTTCACCAGGAGACTATGCTCCAATTCAAACACTGAGTAAGTGCATTGAACAAATCAATGACTGGATGTGTCAGAACTTTCTCCAATTAAACAAAGATAAAACTGAGGTAATGGTTTTTGGAGCCAAGTCAGAACGTATAAAAGTTAGCACTGAGCTTCAGTCTGCAATGTTCAAAACAACAGATAAAGCCAGAAATCTAGGTGTAGTCATGGACTCTGACCTGAGTTTCAACAGTCACATTAAAACTGTTACTAAATCAGCCTACTATCACCTAAAGAATATATCTAGGATTAAAAGACTAATGTCACAGCAGGATTTGGAAAAACTTGTCCATGCTTTTATCTTCAGTAGACTCGACTACTGCAATGGTGTCTTCACAGGTCTCACTAAAAAATCTATTATGAAGCTGCAGCTGATTCAGAACGCCGCTGCTCGAGTCCTCACTCACACTAAGAAAGTGAATCACATCACTCCTGTTCTGAAGTCTTTACACTGGCTTCCTGTGTGTCAAAGAATAGATTTCAAAATACTGCTGCTGGTTTATAAAGCACTGAATGGTTTAGGCCCAAAATACATTTCTGACCTCCTGCTAAATTATGAACCATCCAGATCTCTCAGGTCTTCAGGGACTGGTCAGCTTTCTGTCCCCAGAGTCAGAACTAAACATGGAGAAGCAGCGTTCAGTTATTATGCTCCAAATATCTGGAACAAACTCCCAGAAACCTGCAGGTCCGCTGCAACTCTGACTACTTTTAAATCCAGGCTGAAGACTTTTAATTGAACTATTCATATCTTAGACTGCACTGTAACTTTTATCCATGTACTTTTTCTTTTAATGTTTTAATTGAACTATTCATATCTTAGACTGCACTGTAACTTTTATCCATGTATTTTTTCTTTTAATGTTTATTTTATTAGCTTTTCTTTTTAATGACTGATTTTAAATGCCTTTTTCTTAATGTCTTTCATTTTTTGTAAAGCACTTTGAATTGCCTTGTGTTGAAAAGTGCTATATAAATAAACTTGCCTTGCGTGCGTGTGTGTGTGTGTGTGTGTGTGTGTGTCTCCCACTGTGTTAGCATGTCATTTTTGTTCTTTCATCAAAGGGAGTGTGTGAGATTTGAGCTGAAAATACTCAGTTTAACAGCAAAGCTACAAAAATAAAAGCAGCTTTTTTTTAAAGAATCTTTTAAAATGTTATTAAATCACTGATGCAACTGCAACATGTCAAGTTATATAATCATGAACATTTTCTATTATTCATATTATTTTGATACTTCTATGGTTGTCAACTTTAAGTGGCGGGTGTGTTAGAGAGTGAGACAGTGATTGATGATCCCAAAGGCATTACTTTTTTATATTCTTACTTACAACCTAACTTAAATTCAGACTAGAAAACATTGTAATCAAAATGTTTTTAAAACCAATTGGATAATTATCATTTGTATTATATCTGTTATGCTTTATTTTGGAACAGCAGTTTAAATTACAAAACATACCTCGGGTCATACTCTGTAGGCAGTTTTTAGTTCCTCTGCGTCAATCTTTATTTGATAATTATCTTCTTTTTTTTTTTCTTTTTTTTTTTATATACTTTATTAATCCCTCGTGGGGAAATTGTTTCTCTGCATTTGACCCATCCTGTGTTAGGAGCAGTGTGCTGCCATTTTGAACGGCGCCTGGGGAGGAGTGTGGGGAACGGTGCCTTGCTCATGGACACCTCGGTAGCACTTGGTCTTGCCAGGACTTGAACTGGTGACCTTCCAGTTGCCAAGCCAAGTCACTATCGACTTCGCCACCACCGCCACCATCATTTGTATTATATCTGTTATGCTTTATTTTTGGAACAGCAGTTTAAATTAAAAAACATACCTCAGGTCATACTCTGTAGGCAGTTTTTAGTTCCTCTGCGTCAATCTTTATTTGTATGTAGTGGTCTTGTGTATTTTAGTAGAGGTATAAAGCATTCACACACAAGCAATTAAAAATATGCTGAAGGGAAATCCAAAGTAAAAATCAATGAAGTTTGTTTGAATAAAACAACGTTAAAAGGTTATTCACTAACACCTCTACAAACCTAAATATTTTTGCCCAGAATCTTAAATAACTAGCTTTTCTAAAGACAAGGAATAAAAGTAATCTTTTCCTTAATTTAAATGTAATTTACTAAATCTATCCACTTTTGTATTGTTGAAGTTCTTGTTGTGCAAGTAACCAGTGCCTTGTGATAAAGTTTTTACGCGTAGATAATAAAATGTAAGCCATATATTCAACAGCAGAAAATCCGCATTTAAAAAAAAAAACGTATTATTTTGTGTATATGCTCTGCCCCAAAAAAGGCCTCTTTACTGGAGACTCCCAAAAAAGGCCAGTGACAGCTCCTGCAAACTCACACTGTCCCAACATTTCCTATTCCCCCTTTCCAAATGTGCTTTCTGTGTCGGTGAAATTAAAAACACTTCGGCCCAAACCCCCATCATTTGTATTATTATTTTTGTATTATATAAATTATATTTATATCAATGTTACTATTTTGTCTTATTCCTAAATATTTGATCTAATTGACTTTGCATCTTTCAAATGTATTTTCTTTAAATGTGGTTGTTATTTCTTTGTACAGCAGTCTTGGTTTTTTAATAATTTAAAATGTATAAATGGCACATCACAGAACAGACACATACAATGTATTTTAAAATAGCAATGATAAAAATGCCTCTTCTAATAAAAGGAAATGTGTGCTGTGCTACATCCCAACTAAAAATGTATTCCAAAATAAGGCACAAAAGATCTTCTTATCTGAAAGATTATATGACACTGGTTTTGCCATCAGCTGTTAATAAATATAGCGAATGTTAGGTCATTAGCTTTATCCTAATCATCATGTTGTTACAGATGTTGAGGATGTTTACTGACCAGGTGTTTCCAGACTCATCGCTCTTTCCGAAGGCGCTGTAGGAGCCGTCATCGTGCTTGTAGGTAAGCTCCCTCTGATATCCTGCAACAATCACACACACTTAGAAAAAAATCCCCTTTGCAGACGGACAAAAAAAGAAGAAGAAGAGTGCTTGGGGGCTACACTGGTTAGGCCCTGTTGTTTCACATGCTGGTGAGACGATGATACAATCCCAGCAGGCTGCTTTAAATAATACATCAAGAGTCTGACGGCCTATCAGATGTCAGAATACTGCACAGCATTTATAATACTTGGAGATGAGATTTTTTTCAAGATGACTGAGGTGACATTCATGTAACATAGGGATCTACTGTCTGATGCAACACCTTGTGAACTATTTTCCACTTTCACTGTCTGTCAAAGATGGCACTCACCGCTCTCTAGGAAGCGTGTGGCTTTCTCCTGAATGTCCTTGGTCAGCTGTTCTGTGCTTTTCAGGTAGTTGAGGATGAAGATGTTTGGCGCAAACAGCACCATGTTCTGCTCCCCGCAGCCGTACGGCATGGCCAGGAGCTTGTCCAGGTTCTTCATGGCCCGGCCCATCAGGTCCCCTGCAGGAGCAACAGGACAAATATAACACCCTCTCAACATTTCATTCTTCGCAGGTTGGAGGGTGAAAAGTTGGAGCAGTCAACGTTAATGCCAAGATTGATCTGAAAACCGCAACGCGTTTAGAAAACCAAGTTTGACCCAAACGTCCTCCTGTATTTTCAGCACAGATGTTTACCATGAATTGCATGGCAGTGAAAAGGCTGAGAAAGCAGAGGAATCTGGACAAGCTACATATAAAGTACAGACAGGAGAGCTCTCCGTGACAAGGTCAGTAATTCAGAAATACTGTTTAAGTTAAACCATCCGATTTCTCTCACCAGTTTGTCACGCCACCACATCTCTATTTGTTTTATCTCCCACCAAAATACAAGTAAATGCTATTATATTAAACTTTTAAAGATTATTATTGTGAAAAACACGATTACATTTTGTTATTGATTGACAGCACTATTACAAATACAGGAACAACTAGTATTGATAACTAGGGCTGTAGCGATACACTAATCTCACGATACGATACTAGATATTCAGCTCACAATACGATATATATCACGATATTCAGCCAACGATACGATTCGATACACTTATATCATTTTCTGAAAGATTTTAAAGGGACAGTGTGATTTTGGTGACATCTTGTGAGTGTTCCATTGACTTGGATTGAATTAATTCAACTGAAAACTGAAAGCATCAATTATACAATATATGGCTCTGACAGAGAGTCTACAGCTTGCAAATGCTGGACAAAATTAATCAAAAGATGTGGTGAGAAAATTAGTTTCATTTATTGAAACAGTGCAAACTGTAGCTTACAAGCCTTTGAAACGTAAGTACATAAAGTGCAGTATCACAATGGAGAATTAAAAGGTGCAGCAGGTGGCGGACCACGGGGGATTTGAATGGGACTTGTTAGAAATTAAAATCAATGTTTTGATGGCATAAAGTACCTTAAACATACCGTCAGTTTAAATGCTGTTTTATACTGAAAAACCAGAAGTTCTTGTGCACAACCAGTTGTTAAGCTTTTATTCTGAAAATCCTTCATCTCCGGTTAGCATTTAGCATGTGGCTAATATACCATTTACTACAGAGGTGAATTTAGTAGCGATATGACACGGAGTGTTGCACACCGAAACCTACTGATTTCAACACTACAACTATAGACGTCGAGATATTATTATTGCTGAATATTAAATGAAGGTACAGTTTATTTGAATACGTTTGTTTACAGACGTGGGTAGCATGAGACAACATCCGGAACTACCGGAAATGATACCAGCCGTGAGGTATTTTTGGAGTATTGATTACAGCGTTTAAAATGTATTAAATTAAAAGTCCTGAAAGAGATAAGGAGGAGAAAAGGCGTGTTTAGTTATATATTTAATGTACAATGTCTGAATCCTCTGTAATGCGCAACAACGAACATTGGAGACGTGGAGGGCCGGCCCCCAGCAGCGGAACACAGCTGTTTTTCTGACTGAACCATCTTCTGCTTGTAACATTACCGCGCTTTTTATTAATTAAAGTATACATTTGAACCTTCTCAGAGACTCAATTAGTCTCCTTTTTAAAGCTTCTCTCCTGGACGCGAGAATAACGAACACAGTTATCAGACTTAATGTATCGATACCCGCGGCTGAAATATCGATACTTTCTCGGAAAACTAAATATCGATATATATCGCAGGATCGATTAAATTGCACAGCCCTATTGATAACTAGAGTTAAAATAAAGAGAGACTGTGTGACTGACCCAGTACAGAGACAGAGGCCCTGGCTGATCCAGCCACAAACATCTCGGGCATCAGAAGGGAAATCTTCTTCTCCACAGGCCCCTCTGGAAACAAAGAACAGAAAAAAAAAAAAAATGGTTAAAAAAAAAAAAACCTTTCCCAGCTTGAAGAAAAATGCCTGTATATTAAATAAAAGCAGCAGCTAATTAGCTTAGCATTTAACCGCACACATTTCTTTTGAATGGATTACCAAAGAAAAAAAGATTAAAAACAACATATAAAATGATAATTAGTGAGTTTTAGAGAGAAGAAAACAACTAGGCTAGCTGTTTCCCTATTTTTCTAGTCTCTATGCTAAACTAAGCTAAATTAAGCTAATCTGCTCCTGGCTTCTTAGTGATGAATGTTTTTAACAAAGCAGGGTTGTATTGAGTCAGTGTATTTAGTTTAGCAACCGTATACAGCTGTTATGCTTTTGTTCTAACATGGTCTAAAATTAAAACTATTTCACACATACTCATCTGCAATCTGACAAACACAAAAGGCTTCTGAACAATGAATGAGGTGCAGATAAAATGTTATCATCCCTCACACTCAACCCCTGACCCTGACTCTGGACTCCATGACAGAATGAGAGATAATCAAGATGGCCGTTAACCCAGAGGCTTCAGATTACAGACGCTGATACACAGGTTGTGTGTGTGCTCACCTGCAGGACAGAGGAGAGCGTTATGACTGACCATCTGTGGTGTTCCTTCAGCCTGGTGGAGAAAGAGACAAAGAGAATTAGATTGGTTGAAGATATACCTCAGGAAAACTGGAAGGCATTGTAACAAGTGCAATATTTGTGTGTATCCAGCTTCAAATACAAGTTATTCCTCGGGGTGCAAAAACTATTAAATTAATCAATTTGAAATGCTGTTGCCCTGGGCACCATGTTCCTTCATCAACACAAACAACATTCATCGTCCAGCTGACCCAAACTAGTAAACCAAACGTGGATTAATCGGCCGTTGGAAATACTGTAGTCCCAACATTATTTTACCTTAAAGTTGGACCCTTTAAATAAAGTACATTTACGATTTTCATCTTCAGTAGAAAGAAATGGCCAACGTGCCATAAACACGGAATAGACATGCCACTATCATTCATCAAAAAGACTGGCCACAACAAAGCCAATTAACAAATATAACAGGGCAATACATTTGTGGTCTGCAGCTTCAGATGGTTCATTCTTCTCAAATCCCTAAAATAGGTCATTTCCCCAAATATTAATGAAGATATTGTCCATATCAGTAGTCAAACTCATGCCACCTTGTTTCTCCGGTGTGTTGTGTTTGACAGAGACTGACCTCCACCAGCAGGGTGCGGACCACCGTGTCGATGCTGCCCATGTCGGGGACAGTTGCCACCTCGTTGCCACACAGTATGTCAGTCTTCATGGCTTCAGCGCTGACCTTCAGATTCACCTGACCTGTGGGTACACATACAGTCGTATTGATTAGCGCTTCCTGTCACTCTGTCACTTTTTGTGTACGGAGGCAGAAACAGTTTCCCCGTCTGCTTTTCAATCCAACTCATTAGCCTCCACACCTCCTGTCTGTTTTCCTTCCTCCCCCTGTTTCCCCGTGTTATTCGCCCTCATTAATCCCCATTTGCTACCTTATTATAGCGCTCAATCTCCCACCCCCTCCCTCCCTTCACAGCCCACAATCCTTCACACGGAGGACAAGTACAGATCACCCCCCGAGGGAGAGGTTTCGGAGTGTTTCGTCAGAGATACTACCTGACTTGTTAGTACAAGTGATTGTCAGCATTCCTCTAAGGGGGAGTTAGAGGAGCGCAATTTGACATTCATCAGAGCCGCGTCTCCATCACTGCTGATTGAGGCTGATAGAAATCCTCAGCTTTCAGACCAGGCAGCGGTAAAACAACAAGCCCCTGTCTTTGCTTCCAGCAGTGCAGACGCAAAAAGCTGCCAGTGCCCATAAAGCAGATTAATTAGCTTGTTCTGTCTCATCTGAGAGTGGATGTTTAGCATTGACGTAACAAACAATCAGTATTCAATTATAAAGATGAGAAGATTGCATTATATTATTAGCAACAACAGTCACTCGGAAGTATTATTTGCCGTAATTATGAGGTAAAGCCGTGACTAAAATGAATAACATCTCAAACAGTCAGACAATTTTTTATTGAAGCTGAAATCTTGCACGGATCTTAAATTCAAATCCAGAACGTATTGGTGCCAAGGTGCCCCAGAAAGAGCATTGAAGCTTACACATTTGGACCACATTAGTGGTTTAGTGTTCTAGACATCACTACTTCAAACCACAGTGTTTCATGATTATCATTATTATACTATCTCCAATATGGATGTCGTTTTTGTAGTTTTTAAACAATTTCCCCAAAAATATCTAGAAACTTTATAATTGATATTTTGTCAATCAGAATTTGATACTTAATTAACACCCTATGAATGACATATAAAAATATATATATATTTCAGATGAGATTTTTGGGTGTATTTCTTTCTGTGATTTTCTCACTCATTGAAAAGGGAAAAGCTCACTCGGCAAATGTGATGTCACATGTTTTTGCACTATCAGGAGTTTAGTTAAAAAGATCATAGGTGGATTCAAAATCAATAAGGATGTTTTTACAGCATACATTCACTTGTAGTGCTCTTTTTAGTCATACAAATCTAATGTTACTAAGCAATCATTCTAATCATGTTTTTTCAGGAGCTTTAAATGGTAAAAAAGGCCAAACTCTTGTTTTAATGTCCTGTAAAAATAATTAAGATCTTTCAACAGACCACCAACAAATGGAAACTACGTGAAAAAAAACACTGACTGCTTCATACTGTATAATTTGCAATAACATGTTAATGTTTCGAAACAGAATGCATCAGCCATCAGTACCTAGGGCGGTTGGGGTTACAATCCACGAGAAGGTCCTGCTCTCCTCCCCGCACAAACACACACTGTACTGGCAGCCGTCGCAGTTTCTGGAGGTGTACTGGTCGGAATCAGCCAGAGCGATATTAACCTGCGGACACAATCAAAGACAAACATAATCAGAGAAATATATAAAATACATGTCCATTATCATCCGGTCGGGGTCAAGAGCTGGAAATTAGCAATGTTGGCTAAAGCTGCCACATTTACTGTTTTTTTGTGACAGTTGATTAATGGAGACTGTCCACGACACTATAAACAAATAAACTAAACATGTAAAAAACGTTTTAAAAAAGACAATTTGACTACCCTATCCACAGTCCTACGTGTATCCATTCAAATCAATTACATCTGCAACAGCTAGAATATTTACCATAATGCACTTGGAGAGATAGTTGAAGACTGTTGCTTTGAGTGTAAACACCTCCCCTCGGATGACTGAGTAGGGCAGGGTGAGACTGACAAAGAACGGCTGGAAGGCGACAAGCGCCGCGTTGGGCGCCACGCCGAAGCCCACGGACGAGACGCAGAACGCTCCAGCTGCCCACTTAGTGATGGTGTCAGGGACCGTCTTCTCCACGTTCACTGAGCCACTGTCTCTGTTCAAACAAACAAGCAAATAAAAAAGTAGCATGAAAAAATACATATGCTTAGCACATTCCATGCATTGCTACTGCACATGAGATTTAAGTGCTCAGTACATTTCAGTGTGAATATTCTTTAGTACAGCTGAAATGATAAATAAATAATGCATTTGGGTGAAATGGAACTTCATTGCTGCCCAAGAAAACAACTTCTAACTAAACAAAGGTCTACAGCTATGCTAGCAGCGCTGTAAATTGCTTTGAGTTAATGCTAACATCAACATGCTAACAGTGTCAATGCTAAATTGCTAATATCAAGCAGGTATAATATTAACCACGTTCACTATCAGAAGTTGTTAAGTAAATACAAAACATCCTGCTAAGACATTAAGTCAAAAACTACAAATGTTAGCCTCTGTCTGAAGTTAAACACAAAGTTGTAATATCAGGCTTTGTCTGGGCACAAATGTCTCAACAAAATTAGCTAATAAGAAATAACACAGGTGAAAAGTACTTCTGGGGCTTAGTTTTGCAGGTATTTTGTCATACAGTAAACCAAAGTATTGGATACATTTGAATTATGACGACAGCGGCAAGAAAAAGAGTAATTAGGATACATCCACTGGGCACCATGAATGACTAACAAATGTGTGTCATTAGGTTTATTTCACTGGGCACCTTGAATGTCAGTAAGGAAAAAAAGTGTTTTCCTTTAAAAGCTTAAATAGTCACGCTCCTGGTGGTGCTTGAAGATTAATGAGGGGATCATCAATGTCATGTTTGCCGTTAGGAACCATGAATGTCTGTACAAAATTAACATTTGCTAGTTGGCAATAATGCAGGTAAAAGGTACTTCTGGGGCTTGGTATTCCAGGTATTTTGTCATAAACAAAAGTATTGGATAAATATGAATTTTGACTCCATGGTGGTGCAAGGTAAAAGGTAATTAAGTTATATCCACTGGGCACCATAAATGTATGTACCACATTTGTGTCAGGTTTATTTCACTAGGCACCATGAATGTCAGTAAGAAAAGAAAGGAAAACAAATAATCACCAACGTTATGGTGGCCTCTGGGAATCATGAATGTCTGCTCCCTACTGAATTATTTCCACAACTATTGGATGGATTAACATGAAAATGTATGAAATGGTTGACCTACAGACAACGTCATCCCTAATCTTAACCTTATGTGACAAAAGTCATTAGGATGCATCCTCTGAGTAGCATGACTACCTGCTCCTGACCCTAATATCTCTCGACAACTTTTGTGGATAACTATTAACTGTACGATGTGCTGAACAGACCAAAATAGCCTTTGAGAGCCACACTGCTATCACAACTAACACAAATACATTATTTAAACAATAATAGTTACATTTATTAAAAATTTCAAACTTCATTATTGCAAACAACCTTGACAAAGGCAGCTCATACAAGATACATTCTTCCCTTTCATAATAAAATACCTAGATATATGCAAAACATTTAAACTAGGGGAACTCAAATTCAGGGCATTTTGTTTAAAAGGAACAAACTAAAAAGATAGAGGATGATGTTGTACCATATATTTTTCATATAAATTAGGTGACACTTGTATTCCAACTTTCCATTGAACCAATTTTGCAACTGTTGCAAATATGTAACAGTATGGACAGTTTTGAAGCATTTTCAAATTGTACAACTTTGTCCATTCTTTATTAATTTTTCACTATTTAGACAGAAAATGTGATGGTTAATCATGAACATTGATTTCCTTTCAACATAAATAAACAAATGAATCTTTCTAACTGAAAAATAACTTGTTAATTATATAATGCCTATATTGTTAAACGTAATGTTTTTGCTCACACGCGCGTTTGAAAGTCACAAATGTCTTATTTTTTCTTCCTATTCATATATATGTTGTTATTATTACCCCACAGAAACTAGGTCCCAGATCCAGGTTTCAGGGAAGAATGTCCTGAGAGTCTCTTTCTTCTGCTCCTCTTTACCTCTCACGACAGCACCTGAACTTTGTGGCATCATGTTGAAGGCCATGGGTATCGGAGAGTCTAGCACTGGAAACACACAAATACAAAACAAAAATCGAATTAAGCACGTGAACTTACCCAACAGAAACCAGTTCCCAGATCCAGGTCTCAGGGAAGTATGTTCTAATAGTCTTCTTGTTCATTTTGACCGTCTCAATGTCTGGCACATCCTCGTCCCATGCTCCGTCTGCATCTGCTGCTTGGGCTGAAAATACCTCTGATTGAGATAAGGTACAAAACAGTTTATCTGTTTCATTGGAATTTTTATCAAATTGCTAGACTCTGTACCCAAAAACACATACTTAGCATGTGGTCATCGAAAGATAGATCCATGTCTGCCAAAAAAAAGTGTTTATTAATGCTATAAATATAAATATTAAATGAAAGTAATAGTTAAATCACATTTGACACTTCATAAAAAGTAAACGTGAATTTGTGTTTTTATAATATTTTTTATTAATAATACTAATAAAGTGTTCATCAGAATCAGTCATTTGTCAAGACTGTCAGAAGAAGGTTTTTGTAATTTTGTTAAATAACTGTGCTACTCTTTGTTAAATGTATTGTGTTTAATAACATCAGCCAAATGTCATGCAATGATATGTTTTGCCTTAGATTATGGATTATATAAACACCATAATCAAATATTTAAGAACTTTTGTTGAATGGAGTGGACCTATCATGCAAAATGCACTTTTGTACGTCTTTTATACATGAATATGTGTCCCAGGTGTGTCAGGGAACTCACCAAGTGTCAGAAAACACAACCCTCTCTCTTTTCCTCCATACCCAAATCTCTAGAAACGGGGCTGCAATGGATCTGATACAGACTGATACAGATTTGAAAATTATCTGACGTCAGGAACGAGGAGCTCCGCCTATATGGGCAACTCTCCACCTATCAGGAGGAGACAGCCACGGCCATTGCCGTTCGAAAGCGCTGGAGACGCTGTAGTACATATGCCAGGCCTGTAGGTGACGCTGTAGTCTGCCACACAAGCAGTGAAGAAGACTTCTCAAATTCAGCCCTTGCAAAAACAGGGCTAAAAAAAGAGAGCAAGTAGAACAAAATGAGGCATGGCTAAAATGCATGATCTGTTTGGTATTTTGAAAAGAAACCTTCGCAGACATGTTTTGTATAGGTATGGCCCTACAATATATTATTCAAATATAGCATGATAGGTCCACTTTAATTTAATTAAAATGGCATGCTTTTTGGTGTATCTGACGGAGTTGACAAAATCAAGTTAGGAAGTGAATAAATGTCAAGTTTACTAAAAAGTGTTTTAATAAAACAGGTGTTCCCTTACCTGATTTGTTGGCTCATTCCTTTGTCTAATAAATATACCACATTAAAATAAGGGTTGTATTTCAAACTTGTTTTGTAACTTACCTCAAGAATAAGTGCTGTAATAGTGTACAGTATATTATATTTCTTGCCCTACTGTCAATAAGAATGGATATCAGTAGCAAACTATAAAACATACCGGTGTAATAGACCCCTGGATGGCAGTCATAAGGTTTTCTAACATCGGAGTTGGTCACAATTTTGATCCCTATTCCCTAGAAGGGGAAAGAGAGAGAACATTAGTCAACCAACAAAATATGAAGTCATATTTTGTATATGATTGGTCACACATTTTTAATGCAGTCACACAGTTTGAAATGACCCTGACAGAAATTACAAAAGGATACATTTTCTCCTTAAAAATGTATATTATATCGATCAATCTCAATATCTACGGCCCATTATTTAAAACCAATAAAAAAAATGACATGTTTCACTTTAAAAATGTTGTAGACGTCATTCTTCTGATCGTCCTCTGGAAAGTAGAATGAGCGCTTTGCTCGACTAGCTGGCTCTACGTCAGGGGCAAGCTCCAGTTCTGGTTCTGGTTCTATTATCTCGATGTCATCCTCTTGTACTGGCAGAAGCTTGCAGGGATCGGACTCAGCGTCTACAAGCTCATAGCTGTATCCTGAGAGCTTTTGCACAGGCAACTGGCTGTACACCTGCATAAAAACACACATGAGTAAGGGTAAGTCATCAGTTTACACAGGAGGTAAAGATCAGTCAAAGTTTCAAGTTCCTTTTAAATCATGATCTTAAAAAAAGTTAAGTTAAAAAGAAAAAAGACCTGCAGAATGCAGGCAAAGAACAGCTGTACTGCTGAGCTAATTTCAAATTCAGTGTGGAGCTGGCAGCGGACAGTGGGAAAAATATATTTGTAATGCCTTTATCTGGAGACTTGATTTTTGGTTTCTATAACTGGTTAATTGATATTAGTTTGCGGGAAAACAAAAGACTGATTCCTCAAATTAAGTAGTGTGAATAGTCAGTAGCTACACAGCACCACAGGTCAGCTCTGCTGAATCTTTCTGTGAAAACTGTAGGCTATAAAAAGTGTCAAAAATGTAAGCTCTATGTTAAAAAACTGTTAACTGATAAATGAAAAGGACTGATCTGAATGTTATCTTTAGCAGGATGTCATTGCATTTACCGATTCTGTTGAGTGTGCGTTCACACCTGCCTTGTATAGTCCGGTTGAATCGAACCCTGGTGCTTTTAGCCGCTTGGTGCGGTTCATTTGGGTCGGTGTGAACACAATCCGAGACCTCTTAAGTGAACTAAACAACCGGACTCTGGTCCGCTAAAATAGGTGGTCTCGGAGCGCTTGCTTGCGAACTCTGGAGCGGTTCATTGCTGGTGTGAACGCAGTCCGCACCAAAACATAGGAAGCGTAGTATTTACGTGTCACAAGAACGCGGATATCTTCAAAATCTTTAGCGAAAGAGTCTTTCAAGACATCCGCGGTTGTTTAGTTAAAGAGTGAAGTGGAATTAAGTGTTGAACAGTGTCGTGTAAAGTAAAAATGCTCCGTCAACAACATAAAAGTAAGAACACCTGTCGTCGGTGAAACGCCCCTCCTTACTGCAGAACGTCTCTCATTATGTGTTATAATGTTTTTTAACGGACGTTGTCTGATTATATAATCATATGCGCGGGCCGCTAGAGTCTGTTGATCTCCAGATTAACAGCAGCATGAGAATAACCTGCCGAAAGTGCCGATGCTCCATGGCGGAGGCTCCGGTAGAAATTGCCAGGATTTGTGTTTTTACCCCCTTAATGTCTGACCAATTGTTGAACAGCATTTCCGTGCACATGACTTGTGTTTAAAGTTTATAGTCCGTTAGAATTTTGCCCGTGTGAACGCAAACCGAACCTTCTGAAAAATGGAACAAACTGTGGTCTGGTGCGCACCAGAGAAGCGGACTATTAGGTGTGAATGCACCCCAGTCAGATCAAGGACAATCATTACTGAACAATTCAAAAGATATTTCAGGGGCTATACTGTAGTATCATCCAATATCATACTATCATCCAATATCATACTATCATCCAATATCATACTATTGCACTTGACTCCAGTATTAAGAGGAAGCTCAATTAATGTTAACTAGGTCGATTTGTAAAGTGTTTTCTCTCTGTTCCATCGGGTTTCCATGTCTAGCATAATGGACTAAGCTACAACGACATTTGGTTGTGCAACCATATGTTGCGTAATGAGAATCCTTGTTTTCTACCTATACTATTTACTCCTTTTAAATCCATGCCTTGTTTTAAGCATTTTAATTAAAAACATCATGCTCAGGTGTGCGTAAAGATATGATATGGTTTCATACCGAGTCAACAGTGAGTTCCTGCTCTTTCTGCAGCAGCAGGACGCTCTGGTCGATGGCTCTGACTGAGCACATGGAGCCTGGGTGAGCCTGCAGGGTGAGCGTGGTCTTCTCTGCTGGAAGCTCCTGGAGAGAGGAGAACCTCAAAGACACCTGCAGAGAAGACACCGAGGTGGGGAAGCATTAGTTTGACAGCCCAAAAGAAGTGAAGAAGTAAAGACCTACTGTATGGTAAAGACTTTAAAACCATGAAGTTGAATACCTTGTTATTGAGGCAGAGCCTGATTGGGAAGTCCATGCTATCGGCCACAAGCTCCCCTTTGGGCATCACAGTATAAACGACTACTTGGGCAAAAGGGGCCAGGTTTGTAACCTGACGCAGTGGCACAGACAACTCTCCTTTGTTGACTGAACCATGACACACAGAGAGAAAAGGAAATTACAATTATCACAATAAGTAAATACAAATAATATACTTTTCTCATTCAACGAACATAATATAATAACCTGCGAAAGTAGCCTGATGCTAATGTAGATACCAATAGGCACCTACATATTTCCTTTTTTTTTTAAATAAATGCCCAGCAGGTGGAGACTCCACTGGTTGCAAAAACTCTGAATGCATAGAAGTCTATGAAAAAAAAGTCCCTAATATAATAATTCGGTAAATATATTCTTTATGGTTTCATTGAGTAGTTTTAATTATCTTTAATACATCGTGATGTTAATTGTGTACATTATGATCCCATTTAGAGTCAAATAGACAATGAAGTAGGTTGTGCATTTGGGCGTGGCTACCTTGTGATTGGCATCTGCTGACAATAACAGAAATACAATCATGACCAGACTAATCCATGTTGATGCCCATCTTAGTTTAAGTAGCAGTTGTTATTACCAATTCCCGCTTGAACAGCAACTGGGAGACTGCCATGCTGAACAATTCCACCCCTGGACATCACCTACGAAGAAACAGGACGCAGGCAGATCAATTAAATTAGATATAGTTTTGCAATGCATCCTAAAGTCTTTCAAGTTCAGTCAGACATTAGATTAGAAAAACAAAAGACTGTCCAACTAGACAACAGCGCAAAAAAAACCAAGACATTTTGCAACTAACTTTCCCAGTCCGTTAGTGTGCTTCAGCTACAAACAAAAAGCTGGCAACATGTGGCTGATCTTTGCAAAACTGGTCATTCCAATGAGCTAATACTGACAGTACCTCATAACTTATTACACGAGTCTTACCAGGTAAAAGAATTGGAGGATCTCCTGGCCGTTCTTCAGCTCCGTCCCCTGGATTATGTACTGAGCACGCACCGTAGCGTCTTTGTCACAAGCCAGCTTCCCGTTCACCTGCATGAGTTTCAGGAAACTACTGCTCTTGGAGTAAAATGCTATGACGTTGTGGTATGCAGTCCTGTACTCTGGTCTGCGCAGGTCTGCCACATACGGCTCATTCACTTCCGTCTTTCTGGATCGCGCCTGTAGACCAAACAATCACATCTCAGGTTTTAAAACAACCGCCTTCACTTATAGAAAGGTGCAGTATTGGCGTATTTTTTAAGTCTAGCATCTCAAGGGTTCCATCGTCAAAAAGCAACAGGATTTCCTTATTGGATTTCCGTCTAATGCAGAAAATAAGCTTTGTGGCCAACACAAGTTTTTTTTCGCAGGATAATCTCCACATATTAACACCGCTTTATGATTTCTGAAGAGTAAAACACAATCAGCAGAAGTAAAAAGCTATAAACAAACTACATGATGGGAGCAAGCGCCATTTTTCTGACTCATAGAAGCTTTGGATATACAGCAGTGGGGTACCTACTGACATATTTTATATTGTAGAACCAAATGTGAAAATCTCGTACATTTGTGTTAGCCACAGACCTTTCTTCAGGCTGCTAACCACAAACACATTGGAAAAAACTTTGAGACAATGTAACCGGAAGTGGTAAATTACCAAGTCTTTTCCAGATGTTAGGCCTTATCCCTGCACTCTATATACCTTTAACTATTACATATGAACCTTAATGATCTCAAAATGGGATAAATTAAAAAATAATCTACGCCCGTCTTGTTCACCTCCAACATGATCAATAGGGTGGAACGTTTCTGGATTGCATAATTGATCAATAGTGAATTGGTTATAAATAGGAAGCTCTTGAACTGCATTCATTATTCTGCAGTAACCAACCTGTAGATTCACATTGTCCTTCCAGAGGGCGGTGTCAAAAGAAAACGAAGCCTTGCCATTCGTGCCTGTAGTCAGCGTTACTTCTTGAGAGTTGCCAGCAGACACATACACGGCCTCATTGGCGACAGCTTTGTTGTCTGGACCGATCACTTTGACCTGTAAATAAGTGAGAACGCAGAAGCTAAAAGTTCTTCATCCATTCAACAAGGTGACACTTTCAAGTACTGTAGCACTAAAATTGTACACTTTGCGACGCTGGTCATTTAAGGGTTTAAGCCTAAAGGGGTTATTCCCTCTGGTCCTCTGTGTGATAGAAATATTCAAATGGTAAATATGTATGCAGTATAAGCTAGCCTATTAGCAATGGCGATATTGGCCTACTTTTAATTCAGTAGGTGAACCTATGGTCATAAAATAGTGTGTGTGAGCTTAACTGTATATATAAAACGGAGCATTTTCTGTCAGCTCAGAATTCAGAATTTTTTTAACTGTATTGTGTGCTCATACGTTTCATTGTTAGTGTATAGGCTACTGCCTGAATATGCTCATTTTTCAAATATCTTGTTTTTCTCTTTTCTAAAGGTTACATTACATTTAAGTAAAAAACATCTTATTGATATTTTTTACCTCTTTTATTTATTTGATATTGAAGTTATCAAAAAGTAACAAATCAGGTTACATTACCTTTACATTTAGATACTCAGATTAGGTTACATTTCTTTTTTTACAGGTCACTGTAACGGAATGCATTTTCAAAGATACCCTCTCAACTGTTTGTGGATAATTTCCCAAACTGTGGTATCGCTAACTATCCACTAGCATGGATATGAATAACTATGTATCATGTGGTGTGGTGACGGCAGCTATATCGTAGCTCCCAGTGGTCTCTCTCTAAATACTTTTCCCTCGAACAAGATGCCAGGCTTGTATGCTTCAGGCACGTCCTCGAAGGTAACAGTTCTGACAATAGCGCTGAAGCTGGTGCGCCCTGTGCCTGTAAGAATGACTCCTAAATGGTAGAAAACATACAGATCACAGCTCATCAGGAAATAATGATGATTACTCAATGAACAGTCAATGTTCCTGTGTAAAGAGTCAAGCTACCTGTGCCGTACTCCTCCAATTCTGCATTCAGCTCAAAGCTGCCATCGTTCATGTTCCTGTTGAGTCGAAACACCGCCAAGTTCACAGTTTGTGTAGCACAGCCAGCTTTGTCAGTCTGGAAGATAATAGCACAAGTCAATTTCAACCCAAAAAAGAGAATTAGAGAGAAATAACAGCATGTCTTACTTTCATTAATCTGGAGTACTCACCGTCAGTTCATAAGTCTTGCAGATATCTTTTTCCCTTTTACTTGAAAACCAGTACATTTGGGTAGCAATTTTGCAAAAAACTGCCTTGACTGAACCGACAACTGGTTTCCCATAGGTGTATCTGCAGGAGGAGGCACAAAGATTGAGGAATGCTCTTCAGGAATGGATAAATGGACATTTAAAATGTGTATTTATTGCAGTGCTGTACGTTATTCTCCAAAAGCCCAAAAATCCCCAAATAACTTTTAAGGTCTGTTGCTATTTGGTTGTAATAGCTATAAGCTGCTGTTTGTGTATTTGTGAAGCAATAGGCCATTGGACAAATGAGCTTTCGGCCCAGTGGGATATGTTTTGGACTATTGGGGTGTTGGCCTTCAGATACCAGTGAACAGTTTTCTGTGTGAAACGCACACTCAGACACCATTTCCTAAAACAGTTGTATACTCTTGCAAATAATTTTTTTTGCAAAATTGCGGTAGTACCAGTTTGTATTTTCGTTATACCAAAATTGAGGAGAATTACATTTTTGAATTTGGTTTTATAAAATAGCCACTGTGCTAAACTTCATTGCCATTGCTAACCACTGTCGGTCTTTTATGTGGGACACTCACTTTCCACAAATCTTTAGCGTTGCCTCCCGGTCCAGGATGGAGATCACATTGGGTAATTCAACCTTTACCTCATATTTGGGCAAAACTGAAGGAGAGGAAAATTATTTAAAAATCGAACTGCTGAAAAGGTACATAGATCAAACATATCAATCATGTTGGTAATATTCAGCAAATAACTGCAGCAGACCGTATTCCTTGATGTCGAAGCTGTGGGATATTTGCTCTCCTTGGTCCGTTGTGGCAGTGATCAGGTAGCTTCCCTGAACCGCCTCAGGAATTATGGGGTGGGAAATATCAAGGATACCGCTAACAAGGTTCCTATCCAACCACTGAGCAATGCGATTTGAATTGGGATCCTACATGAAGGCAGAGGCACATTTGAGGTTGAGTTTAGACCCAAACATTTACTGTGGACTGATGGTGGTGGCTCATGGTGTCTGTGCTCACAAGGATGTTTTTATATCCTTCATAATAAGGCAACAAAAACCTTAGGGATTTGTTCCTGTAATAGTTACATCTTTTAAATTATTCAGATGGCAGTTTGTATAAAGACAATATAATACTTGTGAAAGTAAGTGTAATACCTTCGGTTTATGTCAATGTTTGTTGATTGGATTGTATGTTTGGCACTACAACTAGGGGTCGCCATAATCAAATGGAAAGCCCAAAACTATTTTAAAATAGCCAATAGGCCAATAATAAAACAGTCTCAAAATAAAACACTGCATTTATGTAGCCATTAGCATATAATTATATAATGAGGAGGCAATGTGTATAAGGGTCTTGTACAGTAATCATTAGAGCCATTTACTCATACTATAACTTTTTGTCAGTCTTACCTGGAGCTCCACCACTTTGTACTGAAAAAGAAAAGAACATTTTCAGTTACATGTAGAATTTGTACAATATTATGCGAGAAGAATACAACTGTAAAGCAAATGCACAGAATATAAATCATTAGCTGCTTCAATAGCAAACATGTACAATCCACAAACTGGAGGAGTACTGGGTAATGGGCAAGACTTACCTGGTTGAACACAAAAGTACAAAATACAGAAAATCAAAGAAAAAGAAAATACACTTTCATTCACTTACTAATATAATGATATATCTGTGATAGTGTTGGAAGCAGCAGCTACATAGTTTTGGATGCAGTTTCATACAGTTAAAAAAGAAACCTTATACATTTCAGCAGGGGTATAATAATACAAAATAAATCAATTTCTGACTTTGAACATTTGATTTGAACACATTTGTTCCATCATTTTATATATTCACACATATTCAATATGTTTCATATGTTTTAGTTTAGAGACTTGTATAGTAGGTCAGACAGTATTACACATATATTATGAATTAATTAAAATTAACAATATTATTATCCCCTTAATCAGAAAAATCCTCTCAAATGGCACTAAAACACACCGGAATCACTTTACCAGGCATTTTGTATTAAATACTTTTAAGAGGCCATGTTATGCTATTTCCTGTAGTGTGTTAGGTGTATTTAACTGGTATAAATTCCATGTGTTCTCTCCAGGGGGAGTTTCTCTCCCCCCCCTGCCTGAAACACCTACATTAGAGCCATTTGTTTACTTTCAGAAAATAGTGATATCACTATGGCCCTTTCTCATTTCCCTAACTCCCCTCCTCGACTCCTATCCTCGACTCCTATCCTCGAGACTTAGTCCCGCCCACAGGAGATGCGAGCGGAGGAGCCGAGGAGGGGAGCCGAGGAGAGAGGAGAGGAAGCAGCAGGCGGTTAGAGAAATGAGAAGTCCTCTCCTCTGAGCGGTCATTTTAAAGAGACGTCCATTAATGATGACAGGAGGCACAGCAGCACTCTGTCTGATGGACAGATGTGTTCATGACCACTTATATATTTACTTTGATTCATTCACAGTGCGGTATAATGAGACAATAACAGGCTACAGATGCGGACACACACACATACATATATATGTATATATTTATATAAATATATACAATTTCAGAATCAAACAGAGCACTCTCATAATAGCGTAACACTATCAGAGACTGGATATATCCCCCCTCTCTGGTCGCTACAATGAGGAAAATAAATTACGGGCCAAAAGTTTTATTTACAAGTATTAAAAGTAAGCAGAGGACACCAAACCAACTGAGACTTGTCTGTCCGCTGCATCTACGCACACACTGTACCACACACACACACACACACACACACACACACACACCTACACCACGCACACGCACCTACAGCTCCTAAAGCATAATCAGGCTAGCCGTTGTGTATTTTATTATGTGAAGCACTAAATGGTTTTAGAAAAATATCGACTCTTTGTTTGTAGATATCTACTAAACTACAGCAAATAAAGAGAGTAGGCCTGTTATACTGAGTGATATATATTTTACACACTGCTCTGCTTTCTGCACGGACCTCACAGCTGTTCTCTCTGGAAACATCGCGTTGCGATGAGAGCAGTTTCTAAAATAATATCCAGGGGATGCATGCAGAGCTGTCATTGGCTGAGATAAGTCCGGCCGTGCGTCACAACTCTTTGAAACATCTCTGTTCCCGGAAATGCATTCGCGAAGGAGCCGTGGAGGACCGTGGGGGACCCATCAGTGTATCCTCGGTTAGAGCTCCTCCAGAGAGCCTCCTCGACGCTCGGTCCTCGAAGTGCATTTAGAGAAATGAGATGTCCTTCAACATGGCGCGCTAAAATTCATTTCCGGGTCACTACCGGAGGACCGAAGAGTCGAGGAGGGGGATTTGATGAAATGAGAAAGGGCCTATGTATTGGCTAGCGTTCCTACTCATTGTACTTGATGGGCTCTAAGCGGTCGACCAATCACAACAGAGCCGGCCAGCTAACCAATCAGAACAGACTGGGCTCTGGTTTCAGACAGAGGGTGAAAAGAGGGGCTGCAGCACAGGTACTATGAGAAGAATAAATACTTTTTTGAACAATAAAGCATGGACACATGTCACAGTCGAGACACTAAATACAAATACTGAAAATTAGCATAATATGGCCTCTTTAATATTTCAAAAATAGGATACAAATATTTGTTACACTTCCTTATGACAGCCTTATTGTTTACTATAGGAGCATTTTAAATGGTTCACAATATCACAGCTAAATGGACTACTTTTAGCTTTCTACCGGCATGATATGATCCATTTTGAATTTATTTCACTTTTTATCCTCTCAACACAAACGGAAAATGCCGCGAGCCTGTATTGATTCAGATGTTTGGGTCAGATGCAGTGTGTGCCAAATGAACTCTGACGGCATATTTATCACACTACTCCACACGGCGATTCACGCCCACGCTGTCTTCTAAATCAACAAACAGCCCTTCTTTCACCTCCCACTCTCCTGAACCAAAATAGACCTCGCTCCTCAGATTCAGTGACTGCTTGGTAGAAATCACACCAGATTGCAAAGTTCCCTGGATGGAATAACTAAATATATCACGCGACATAGAATCATTTTGAAAGGCGGTAACAAATAAATATACATACCAGTCGGGCTACAGGAATGAAATTGGAATCCATCGAGACGATTCGGAATTGGACTGTAAATAAAAAGCAGGAAAAAAATAGCATTAATGTTTTCTCTGAACATAAAACACAAACAGCAATACATAACATCGGTAAGGGAAACAGAGAATCAATTAAATAAAACCCTACTGTACAGCCAGTGGGAGGAGGGACATCTGATGGATAACTTGCATGGTACAAAGGCACTATTCTTAAAGGCCTAACTTAGATAAAGTTTACTGAGTTTCTAGTGATAGCGGACTCTGTGAAGCTATGTTAAAAAGCATATTTCTGAAGTTTTCCTATTGCGTTACACCGTAGACGGTGAAGTGCTACAGTAGTCAGCCACAGTCTAGTGTTTATGAGAAACAATGTTTAAAAAAGGCACTGCAGCAATTAATATCTCCCTCTTTGTCAAGTTAGGGGAATTATTTAAAAAAGAAAATCAGATCAGCAGAATCTCTGAAGTAGTAAGGGACAAAAGGTCCAAAGTAATGCTACTCTATAGAATGTATTTAGTGATACCCCTGGTGCCTGGAAAACCCCTATATGTAATACTGGCTTTTCATGAAAAATCCCCAAACACAATACAAAGTAACCCTGATGACATCACTGAACTAGTCCTTTTATTGAAGCTCCTCCAGAGCCATGGAGTGGGTAGGGTCTAATCATAGAGGATTTTATGGTAAAGATGACAAAGACCTTCTTACCACTGCCTTTTCGACAGATAACCAATCAGATGAAAGCTGAATTAAGCTAGTACTGTAGGGGAGGTCACCATAGAAACTTTTCTTTAGGTTTTTAAAAATACAACCCGATTGCGTGAAAGGCCTTTTACTACCGAAGCACTTTTTGATTACATATGTACGGTACAGTGGCCAGCATGTGCCAACACTCTTCAAAACCAGCAAAACACTTTTGCACATTTTCCGCTGCAGTTTTAAAATATAAAGACTAAAATTTGCCAAAACACATCCAAATGAGGAAACATCTTCACCAACTTCACAAAACATGCACATTGTTTACTGAAGGCGCAGCATAAACGAAACCCTGCAAAGACAAAACGCGGCTCAAAACCCAACGGAAACAGGGACACTAAAATGTATCCACTCTGGAGCACATTCGGGAATAATTTTAGCCAACTGTAACTGTTGTTGGAAACGTTCCTAAAATGTCCTTTTTATTGGATTATTTTAACAATGTGATCGCACGATTCCTTCCAATATTATTGCAAATCTGCTGTAAGCTATAGGGAACGTAGCCAACCTAGTCATTTCAAATATACTGACGACACTTAATTATGGAACAGACTAACGTCAACAAGCGCTCATCTTCCAGCATCACTTTTTAGTGTCCTCGTTTTCATTTGAGCATCTTGCAGCGTTTTTGTATGTTCAGTTTGTAGGGTTTTGTTTATGCGGGTACTTTAGTCAGGTTGGTGAATGTTTCTTTTGTATTTGCATCGTTTTTTAAAGTGCAGCGTGTTTCTCCTAATTGTAGTGTTGTTGTCACATTAGGACACCTGTCTCGTCTTTCTATAGCAAATATACCACGGTAATATTCATTTAGCAATAAAGTGGTGATTAAAAAAAAGCACATTACACATTATATTAATGCACGTTAAAAAGTTAGGTTGGGTTTGATTGTTTTTTTTTGGTGATATTTCTTGCATTAAACCTGCACCAAGAACTCAACCACCATCTTTCTGTGTGTTGAATATGGTTATAATTCCTAAAGTTGTCAAGTAGTGGCTCAGCATTATGTAGTCCAAAATTGTGCAAGTGCAGCTGAATCGTTAAGCATTGCAGAGGGGAGAATGTGGGCTGTATGAACAACACGACTGCAGCAGAGCAGTCATTTCACCACACAGCAGGAAACCCACAACATGTGATACTAACCTGTCTGTCCAGGTTTGTAGATGGGTTTATCAGTCTGGATGATGTGGATGAAAGCAGGACGCTCAATCAGGATTTTGGTTTTCTTGCTCATCGAGACACCCTCACCCATAATATTGACATTAATGGATGCCACAGTTCTTTGACGCACTGTGGGGACCTGTAAAAGAAGAACACATACATCTTTCAGAGAGGGTATGTGACATGGCCCATATTATGCTTTTTGGAGTTTTCTCTTTCCTGTAGTGTGTTGCATACGTTTTTGCATTAAATTAAAACGCCTCCTTTATTTACTTCTGCGACACAGTGACATCACTTTGTAACACGTGTGCTTCTATTTGCTAGCGCTAATCACAACGAAGCCAGCCAGTTTACCAATCAGAGCAAACTGGAAATGAGCATAATCTGGCCCCTTTAAAGCGTAGGACATGTTACTTGATTTGCAGGTTCATATTTGTATTTTGTGCCTCTACTGTGACATGTTTACATGCTTTAATGTTAAAAAGGGTCTTTATTTTTCCCCATAGTGCCTGTGCTGCAGCACACCCTCTGTCTGAAACCAGAGCCCAGTCTGCTCTGACTGGTTAGCTGGCCAACTCTGTTGTGATTGTTCAACCTTTTAGAGATGACTAAAATGTCCCTCCCCTTAGCTTATCATGTACGTTGTGTTGGAGCGCTGGGTGGGGGGAAACTCCCTCTGGAGGGAACTTTGTGATTTTACCCTTTGCAGACCAAAACAGACCTATACCGCGACATAGTTAATCATGAAATGTCGTCATATGTTTTTGCTAATGGAACTGCGATTATATAACAGGGACTACTTCCAAAATGTGTATGGGCATTTTCCTGTATGCATGTGTGTGTCGTGAGACTGAGGGTAAGGGTTGTTTTCCAGAAGAATGCAGGTGCCTTTGGTAAAGAGCAGCCTTTGGTTGGTTGCAGAAAGACAAATGCCAGACTATGCCTGAAGCAGGGTGGAACACTGGTGAACGAAGTGAAACTAAGTGCTATTGTCACAGAGCTGATTGGGGTCGGCGGGTCATTTCCATCAATATGGAGCAAGGCCCATAAGTTGCATAACAGTGAGCAGCGTTGTGACAGAACCCAGAGCAGTAATTTATAGAGAACTGTTGGTGTTGAAAGCTTCAGTCATGGAGCCAGCTGGCTGATTAGGTACATCATAATTCCATAGTTGTTGTGCCATTAGTTTAATGGGGGGCGAGAGGAACGTGCCTTGAAAGCTCATGAATGCATCTAACCACTAACAACAACTTCCCTCCTCTCCCGATCTTCATACTCGACTTCGGCACTAAACATGCAGAAGCAAATGACTAAGAGCAGTTATAAATTGTATTTGTTTTGACTGAAATTTGAGACGACACTTTGCAAATTGCCAAAATATGGGTGTACACATGCTGAGTCAGACCTGGAAGTTTAAGCAGTGATAGAAGTCCTTGTCAACAGCCTGCTCGAGTATGGTGGTTTTGCCGGGGCCCATCTCGAGGGTGATGGTCAAATTGACGGGCTTCGTTGGGCCATGGATGTGAGCACACAGGGTCTCCTGTTGCCCTCCTCTCACCTGGGAGCTCACAGTCACTGCAAAGATACTGCAGCCAGAAAGAGGACATTACATTAGTTTTAAAAAAAAAGGACATGTGTGCTTCACATCAGAACAGAAAGCAGGGTTTCTAGTACTCATTCTTATGTGTTTGGTTATTGCAAAAATGCTCCTATATCAACTATTGGAGTCATGGATTTCTTCTACTACCCATTGAGGCTGAGCAGAAGGAATTAATTAGCCGTTATTGACATCACCTGTTACATAAATTAAAGCCATAAGGTGGAGCTGAACACTTAAAAACCCTATGCTGTGTATTCATTATCGTACATCTGTGATTAAACGTGCCATTCTAGCTGTTTAAGTGCGTTCTAAGGCTGTCCCGAATTGCCGTTAAAACTGTGCTATATATACCTGGCTGCTAAATCCTAAAACCGTACACCCCAGCACGTGCACTCCGCTCTGCATCAGCCAAACGGCTCGCTGCACCCTCGCTGCGAGGGGGACCCAAGTTCCCATCAGCAAAAACATGTGGGTTTGCTATCCTGGCTCCAAGATGGTGGAATGAGCTCCCCATTGACATCAGGACAGCAGATAGTTTACACACCTTCCGGCGCAGACTGAAAACTCATCTCTTTCGACTCGACTTCGAGCGACAGAACTATTAACAAAGCACTTATATACTAATAAAGGACTGGCTTATCTAAAGCCAGTTGAGTAGCACTTGAAATGTTTTAGCTCTATGAAACCTGATGTACTTATATAATTCTGTTTTCTTCAAGTTTGTATCTTGTTGGTCGAACTAAATGCAATGTAATGTAAGAACTGTTACAGGATGTGTATTTTGAAAATTATGTAACTTTTTATTTTTTATTATATCATAACTTAGTACTTTTTAATGCATGTAACATTAAGCTGTCTGTGGCTCTTTTTTCTGCTGTAACTACGTAAATGTCCCCTCTGTGGGACTAATAAAGGCATTCTGATAAGTGGTGCGTGTCAGCAGCTGACATCGATCAAAGAGCGAGTTTGGGTTTTATTTTTGTAATATTAGTTGCAAAATGTTTTTATTTTATACATTTTTCTTCTGTCAGTTTATGTATTATATACCCGCTAGCTAGCTTACTAAATTGATAGCCTCGTTGAATTCTACATTCTGACAGTAGCATTAGTATTGCAGTTGTCCAGGAGTCTTTTTTCTCCCAACTACTTCTGCCATGCATTTTTTGCGCTAATTTAGCCAGAAAGATGGAGCCAGAAGCTTTGTATACTGGCAGACTTAACTTATGGCATTTTGTACTTTATAAGGATGTTTACTTTTAGAACTACCCTGCAATAAAAAACGAAAGTTGTTGTTTTGCTCCTAGGACTTATTCCTACTAGCTTTCCATAAAGTCCATATCGAACTGGAAAAATGCCATCCAAGTATGCTGCTTCTGCAGTTCAGAATCTGTTGCAAAATCCTCTGAACCTTCAGGACCTGGTCTAATTGGACGCATTTAAAAGTGATTCTAAAATAATAACATGCTTTGAATGTATTTTGATTTCTTGTTGGCCTTTAATTTGCTCTTTGATTTTATGCTAAATTCTTATATTGTCTTTTTGGTTGCAACCTTGTCATTTGTGCTGCTAACTGTACTGGAGAGGAGTCTTTTGAAATGTATTTTTAAATCTCATTAAAGGTGGGGTAGGTAAATTTGAGAAACCGGCTCAAGATACACTTTTTGTTATATTCCATGGAATGCTCTTAACATCCCGATAGCAATGCATATCTTAAGTGCTTTGACAAAAAGTCCATTAAAAAAAAACGTCATCTGTGGAAGCCGTAGTACTGTAAAAAGCACGACCAATCGTTTTAGACGGCCCGGCTAAAAGGACCTGCCTGTCAGCCTATCATCTGTGCATAAACCATAGGCATAAACGCATAAACTTATCTCGTGCCCTCATTGGTCATGTGCGCGTTCGTGTGTGTTGGAGGAGGGGCTCTGTAAGGAAGTGGCAGATTTGTTCCGGTTGTGTATTTTCAAATTCTAGCGCACTCGAGCTGGTTTCTCCAAAATATATTTTATATAATAAAATCAGTTAAGTTTTTTCCTGGAATTGAGCTCCTCTTTCACCACTGAAAAAAACCTATGCAAATTGGTGTTTGAAATCTGGTGTTATTGTAAATTGCATGAAATGACACGCCCAAACAAAACTCTGCTGAATATGCTGTGTTTGAGGCTGGTTGGCACCATAGGTTGGCACACAGGAGCCTGCACTGCCGCCAATGAGAAATAAAGGACACATTTAATTGAGTTTTGGGTGGTGCTGCTGAGAATATTGATGTAATCTCAGCCTGAGCAAAAGTTGCATGATGAGGAAAAGTCATTTGACTCTGATACTAAACTATGAAAGGCATGCGAGTCAAGATGAGCACAGAGCAGATAACACAGGGAAGCGAAACAAAGGTCAGAACTCGATCAATATGCAGAGTGTGTCTGTGGAAATAAGAGCTAGTAGGCCTATCTTGATTTAGGAAAAAAACAAGACATGTTTGGCTTTAAGGCTAAAACAGCACAAAGTGTTTCCTTTAAACTCATGGTCACCACTTGATTTAGTAGATTAACCAAATACTTTATCATTGTTCAGTAATTTAGCAGATATGGCCAGCCAGAGGTGGAAAAAGTACTCAGATCTTGTAAGTAAAATTAAAAGAACCAGAGTGTCGGATTACTCGGTTACAAGTAACAGTCCTGCAAACAAAATGTTACTCAAGAGTATTGGCCTTAAAATATACTTAAAGTACCAAAAGTACAAGTACTTATGAATATTGGCCCATTTTAGAATAATATAATGTTTTGATGAGTATTGCTGCATTACAGAGTTATCAAATCTAGTAAAGGTTGAACACATGTTAATTACTTTGTACGCTGCAGGGTAGATTGTGAATGTATCATTAATCTAAATATGCAGATTAAACTAAGATAAATACATGTAGTGGAGTAGAAATACAGTACACGATTTACTTCTGAATTGTAGTGGAGTAAGTACAAAAGTAGCATTAAATGAATATGCTCAAGTAAATTACCTCAAAATTGGTACAGTACTTGCATTTCGTTACATTACACCACTTGTTGGTAGCTTAAAATTCAAATGGTGGTTATTGCTAGCAGGTGGGGGGGTACTCTCTGAGACATACACACACACAACACTATAGATTGCATAACAGTGATCCTGAGGCCAACGACAAGACTTTTTGCCTCTCCATGACACGATACTGGATTTTAAGTCCTTTAGTGATGCCAAACATTCACCACATTGAATTTAACTTTTAGCCAACTTCATCTCAACCGTCAAACACTGCGTGCCGGGACGCACGTAGCAAACTTTTGCAAACAATAACACGAGTTCCGACACTTTGGGGGGAAAAAACATTGTACTCACGTTCCATCGAGAGTGGCCGATGTTGCAGTTTGCACGAGCGCTGATGCGATGACGACCGCGAGCATTAGCAGCACAGGTGGCGGTGCCATGTCTGCACACCGGAGACAGAGCTTTGCAGCGGGGTAAGTTGAGCAGAGTGCACCGGAGGAGCACGAACTTCCAGACCAACTGACTGCAGGCCGTATGCAGAGAGAGTGGACAGTGATGTGCAGGGCAAGTTGCTCAAACGTAGGGGGGGTGGAGGCGGTGGTTGGCTTTAATAACTCCAAACCAACGCCACCCCTCCCTCTGGAGTCACTCCCCCCCCAAATCCGTTGGAGCTCGGCAGCCTCCTCCCTATTCCCTGAAGAGTTCCACTTCCCAAAAGTTGAATCACACAGTCCAGTACTCCCCTCTTCCAAATAATTTCAAAAAATCAACAACAGTTTCAGTAAGAAGGTGAAAAACAGTAGAAGGTGGGAATAAAGGAACCATTGTATAGGCATGATGACCATGCACTTTTAAAACTGTTGAGCAACAACTTGCCTGACTATATACAGTCTATGACTACAACAGGCTGTTTGAGTATTGACATATAGATAGCACTTTTTGGGCCCCCACAACAGGCTGGTTTACAATAAGATAGAGATAATACTTTATTGTCAGATCAAGTCTGAAATTGTTCTTGCATCGCAGGAACAATTTACCATAACATTACAATTACAATGTTGTGGAGGCTATTTTTATATAACATTAGAAAGACTGATTCTTATTATTACATTATAAGCTTATTGTGCTCCTTTTATGTGGCTGTGACTTTGGAATAAATAGACGTCTTTAGCCTGCAATACAGAGTAGCAAGGTCAGGTGCAGACACTGGAAGACTACAAAGAGTTATTCATAAACAGGACATCACTCCGGCCTTGAGCTTTAGGTGAGCTCCGCTACACATAGCTAGGAAGCAGCCTTATGAAGATTCCACTTTTTCTGTAGAAACGTTAGCGAAAACAAATTACGTATGATGGTGCCAGAGTAGGGAGGGACTTCCTCAGGCCGGCCGAATGCTCATTGGAAGGTCGTGTTGCCAAGAGACTAATTGCCATTACTAAACAAAACAGCACACCTGAAATGTATATTTTAGTGCTGTCAAAATTATCGCGTTAACGGCGGTAATTCGTTTTTTGAATTAATTGCGTTAAAATATTTAACGCATTTAACGCATGTGCAGAATGGCCCGCCCCATACGTGCCACCAGTGGCAGCGCCAGGGTATGGCTGGGCTAGGCTACACCCATACCAAGAAATGGCTTAGCCCAGGGCCGGACTGGGACAATAAGTCAGGCCGGGAATTATACACCCAACCAGGCCACTACCAGTTTTATTTTGTGTAATTTTCCTGGATTTATTTGTCAATATTTACAGCGTTGCTGCCCATAGTGATAGCCATAAACTTTAAAACTACCCCAGAATAAACATATGGACATGGGTTACTATTTTTTTTTTAAAGTGCAAATCTATTTAGGAACCTATCCATGTGAACATATTTTAAGTGGAGGTGGACCTCAAATCCTCTAGGGGGGTCGGGGGCATGCTCCCCGAGGAAGATTTTTTTTTTTTAATGTTGGACTTTAATGCATCAATCTGGTGCACTTTGAGGGGGAAATAAAGAGACTACATCCATATGAAACAGAACTGTATACATTTAAATAATCATAAAATCATAAGAACATGGCCATAACCAATAACATACCATATCCAATATGAAAAAACATTGAAACTTGTTTATTTATTTGTTTTTGGTTCATTTATAGTTAACATGGCATAGTGTGTCTGGGCTCCTGAACCAGCCTCACCTGTCTCCCCCCTGCTCCTCTTTGAGGCAGCAGCAAAGACTAGTTTTAGCTCTCAACAAGTTTTTTAAGTTTATCCTACCTTTTTTCACCTAGTTAACTTTTTTTTTTGTATTATTCATGCATATTTTACTAATCACTCCCCCTTCAAATGGAAATATGTGTTTACATAAATGGTGACCAAACCGTTTGAGACCCACAGTGAACTTAGACTAAGTTAACTATCTAAACACTCAGAGAGTCCTTTACCTCACATGAGCTGTAGTTATCAGTCTCTCAGTCTGACAGGAGAGGACTCTCCTCCACCTTGTTGACAGCTCATTCCGTTAGCGCCGCTAGCTAGCACCGGATGCTAACAACAACAATACACGTAACCAGTGCACGCGCTTTCTCTCTCGCTTGCTCGCGCCACACATACACACCCTCCCGAGCTTGAATGACACGAGACCAATCGAGGGCATTAGTGTATGATCTGTATGAAAGTGGCCATGTCGGCAGGCCACATCATGTAGACAGCCAGTCACCCTCTGTGAGGCAGAGTCAGACCCACATTTGCGCAGCGTTGCGTTCACAATACATAAAAAAAATTCCTCAAGCCAGCAGGCCACTTAACAGGCCAGGCCATCGGGAAACCTCCCGGTCCTCCCGATGGCCAGTCCGGGTCTGGCTTAGCCCCACCATGACAAATGATGTTAAAGTAAGTAAAATAAAGTCTGCCAACTCGCGCGGAGTAAATTGCACAGACAGCAGTTAGTAAGATTGATTTCAGTAGCCACGGTTTTGAAAACTTTTGTCACGTAGTGATCGTCTTCTCAATAGAACATCTTTGATAACGGCGTGGTGTTGTTGCAGGAAGTCCCGACGGAGAATACTTTTGCTTTAGTACAGGGGTGCACATAACTGGTACGCAGGTTATGTGCGTAATCTGAAATGCGTACCGTCACTTGTGTCACAAAGCGCATTTGCGTACCAAGGTACTTGTGAAGCTTTTCCAGAAGGCGGTTAGATCACCGGACGACAGAGTCGGTCTCCGTGTGCACAGACAGGGCTGCTGTTAACGTCGGTCTGTTCAACGGAATTGTGCCAAAACTACGCCAACCGGCTGCGGAGGGAGACTCCCCCCCCCCCCCCCCCCCCCCTTCACTGGAGAACTGCGCTAAAACAGCTGATCACAACGTTCATACTCTGTGGTCACGAAGTACTCCACTAGCCGCCGCCGCCGCCCCCCCCCACCTCTGTCGACTTTCCTGAAGTAGGCCTACTCCCCCGTTGATAGAAATCAACACGTAATGAATTAAGACCCCACGGTTTGATGATTGATAGGTGTGTGGGTTGTCTTTCATTTTGATACGCAGAATTTTTTTATAATAAACATAGATACTGTATGTTAAATGGATATATATCCGCCTTCTTTCATTTATCTTTCCATTCCCACAACAATATACATAAATAAATGGCATATTTTGGACATAGTTCGAATGGTGATTAATCATGATTAATTATTTTTTAAGCTGTGATTAATCTGATTAAAAATTGTAATCGTTTGACAGCCGTAGTATATTTAAATACTTTATTAAGGGCAGTGAATTAATTTGTTCTATATGTTTTTCAAATCATCAGTGTTACAAGTGTCATAGACAGTGTTACATTGCTATTATTATCCTTAAAATATATGTAAAAGAAAACCACTTATGATCTTTTTATTTGAGTGGTTTACTAATGACAGTTGATTCAGTTTTATGCTTTTTATGGTTTCATTTTTATGAAAAATAATAAAATAATAAAATTCAATAACGTGCTTTAACCACTAGGTGTCCCTTTCTATCAGCTGTGCACCGTTATGGTGTAAATGCAGCCTATCTACCAATTGGATCAAATATAAAAGTCAGCCGAATTAGTATTGAAGAGTGTTGAAGAGTGTCAAGGAGACGTATTGTGTGAAAAGAAATGTAAGATGTTGTTTAATTGCTGATATATTTATGATCCACGTCAAGTTTTCAGTTTTGGCGGCAGTTCTTCCTGTTTGTCTAGAAGTCTTCTCACCAGGGCTCTATAAATAGAGAACTACGGCAGATATGTAATATTTAACGCAGCCGAACCGTGTATTACAATGCCGTTATATGATGACTTTCAAAGAGAAAAGCAAGCACACTCGGAATAAAGTATCATTTTATTTAAAAAAAATGTTTTCGCCATTTCCCAACGTGCATTGTGGCTAAACCATTGAATCACTGAGCTGAGGACCTTGCCTCATGCCTTGCCTACGTCTGTTTCCGGTATTTTTTATGACGGATGTATTTGGTTAGACACACATTCCTTCACATTTAAATTAAAATTTGCATTAAAGTATTTCGTGAGGCCTTCTAACATGTTTTTAAATATAATTACGGTTCTAGTTGAAGAGTTTGTCAATTAACATGAACCGAAGCTGTTGCCTGGCAACGCAATCGCACAACGTCACGTCCGTTAATTCCACATCCACACACATGGATTAATATCGATTTAATACATTAATGTAGCCTTTGTTTCTGCTAAAAGAGGTGTCGACCAGCTGGGGCAACAAGAAAATCGGCGTAATCGAGTGTGACTATTAATATATAATATTAATAATAAATCATTATTATATTAATATTGACAATAACAACCGACCGTTGGGGTAGCATTTGCTTGGCATTTCCGGGTATATCTCCACTGGTTGGGCCATGTTAACAATACCGTGTAACTGTCACGTTTGAAGGGACGAAATCGTGACATCTTCACGTCTCCCAGCATGGTAAATCGTCACATGTTCACGTCTTGCCGTGATACCGGGTTGATTTTAACAGATGTTAGAGTAAGTGGGGTTTGAAATGTAGAAAGAACATATTACAGTTAAGTTAAGCTAAAACATAGTAATGTAATGAGACAGAATTTAATTTAGACAACATCCTGTCTCTAGCCTGGTAAATAATTAGAAGTAAAAGCCATAGACTTTATTGTTTAGGTCAGTGGTTCCCAAAGTGTGGGGTATGACAGGGGGGGCGCGAGAGACCAGGAGAAAAAAATGGTTATTAAAAAAAAAAAAAAAAAAAGATTAAAAAAAAAAAATCATAATTTGAAAAATTATTGATTCGAAAATAATATGATACAGTACAGCACTATTACGTCTGGCTCTCTGTGTTTCATTAAAGCTCGGCTCTGTGTGTGTGTGTGTGTGTGTGTGTGTGTGTGTGTGTGTGTGTGTGTGTGTGTGTGTGTGTGTGTGTGTGTGTGTGTGTGTGTGTGTGTGTGTGTGTGTGTGTGTGTGTGTGTGAAACGAGCCATGTTGTATGCGTGCGCGAGCGAGAGAGAGCGCACCGGTATCGGAGATCGTTGTTGTTAGCTTCTGGTGCTAGCGAGCTACGCTAACGGATATAAGTGGAGGAGAGTCCTCTCCTGTCAGACTGAGAGAC